AAGGGAGAATATTGAACCTGATCGGCTGATCGCGTACCATTAAAGATACCTTATCGGACCTTATTTGAACAGATATTAATTTCCCTCCTTAATACTATTTATGTTCTTTTATTATTGTTAATATTGTTTCCATATTGATATTTTCTAATTTCTATACTCAGTCGGCTGTTTTGGTCCGGGCCTTGCTTGCTGGCCCTGTCATGGCTCTCTAGCTTGGGCAGGTTTGACTTATATATAGGACCTATATAAGCGTTCATTTTAATGTCCGTTCAAATAAATTCCGTACTTTTAAAAGTACCGTGGAAGAATATGGGTTAAGGTCCGTCCAAGTTAAAGTCCGTTGAGATTTTTTTTCAAAATTATTCCACTGCAAACTCACGTTTAGGATATGACAACTATTTAATGCACGATAACCAATTTGAGGAAAATGACCTGTGATATGATCATAAAATCTGGTCTTATTTCGTATCTGTTGTTTTTGCACACCTTTCATAATCATAGACACTGATCTATAGATATTTTGACATTTTTTACTTCTTAGTGCTTAACGACTGCCTTTTTTGATCATTGTGTAAGTATAACAAATTAATTTACAAATTATCTGCTAAAATTTAAAAAACGCAAAAAACAATATGACAAAATTTGGATTTTTGATGGTTTAGGATGCCTTCGAGCGTTCATCTTAATGTTCGTTCATAATCATGTCCGTTCATTTAATGTCCGGTCAAATAAGGTCCGATAAGGTACGCACTACCACTACCAGTAGCACTAGCACTGGCATATGAATGATGATTAATCACTTTACACTCGATTTCTTTTTCGAACCGTTCTCTAGCTGGCCCTGAACGACTATTCGAAACCTTAACACTTAACTCTCTAATCTGATCCCAACCTTAACTCTAACCCAATCCTTAACAAAAGCATATGCAGAAACCCTAACCCTAACGAGAAATTATATCAACTAAAACTTCAAGTTCCTTATACGGTCATATCACGTGATCGAGACAGTTTTTCGCCAATATCTCGCCAGGGGAGTATTTAACTTTAAGTTTATGTCATGGGGTGATTCGGAATCAGCGTCCAAAAATATATATGAAATACATCGATTGAAGTTTGTTTCAACTGTCGGGGGAACTATAATTTCCGGACAATCTCGAAGATCGACTGTGAAGTGATTTAACACGCTCGGTGGCATATTGAGAAATTCAGGGGTTTTATTACATATAAATGTTCTGAAGTTCGTTGTTGTACGTGATTTTTTTCGAGGGGTCTGGATTCTGTTAAATCAAAATATAAACCTGCGAATTTGTTGATAAATACTGCTGATCAGCACTTGGAAAATTAGATTATTAGGCAGAAAAGATAATATCGCAGACTTACAGTTACAATTAGGTAGGCAGGATTTTAGGTTACCTGCACGCCAGTCCCTGTGCACGGCGCTCTTTTCAAGCTTCCTGAACACGAGCAAGCAATATACTTATAAATTATATATAAGCAAGCTACCCAGGAAACCTTACCGAAAGGGGCCTAACTTCGAAAGTAAAAGAGATACTGGGATAGAGACTTCCGGTTTCTTGCAAAATGTTCGCCTCGTCAAAATAAGCCGAAAGCCAGCACTATGATATAATTATAACGGCGGCGGTCGTGCTTGCCAGCACTGTGATTCAATAAATTTGATTGATTATCTTACGAAAAAATGTCTATTGACTTGTAAATTTAAATCAATGTAGGGATGTACTCTTCGAGTCGAACAGACAAATCATAAACTTAAAGTCGATCATGATCATGTTAACTTCTTAATGTACAACTATGACGTACAGAGTTGACATGTGAACTTTATATCTATCCTACGTCTAGCCCATTTCTTGTCATACGTTGTATGACCCGCCGCGCACGAGTGCGCGGCTTCCCCTGTATCGTAGAAACTCTACAGTGTGAAAACGACATTGGGGGTCACGACGTGATACAACCCATTACTAGGTCAATTAAATTCTACTGATAACTGATGGATCACATCACTAATTATACGTCACTAATTGGTGACCGGATTAAACAGGATTAAACAGGACTGACATGATCTGATAGTGATCACCCTGATATGATAATCGGGGGCCCTTTATACACAGGAGGACTGTAGTGCAAAGAAACTGCTGCTAACTGCTGCTCACTGCTGCTCACTGCTGCTCACTGCTGCTCACTGCTGCTCACTGCTGCTCACTGCTGCTCACTGCTGCTCACTGCTGCTCACTGCTGCTCACTTCTGCTCACTGCTGCTCACTGCTGCTCACTGCTGCTCACTGCTGCTCACTGCTGCTCACTGCTGCTCACTGCTGCTCACTGCTGCTCACTTCTGCTCACTGCTGCTCACTGCTGCTCACTGCTGCTCACTGCTGCTCACTGCTGCTCACTGCTGCTCACTGCTGCTCACTGCTGCTCACTGCTGCTCACTGCTGCTCACTGCTGCTCACTGCTGCTCACTGCTGCTCACTGCTGCTCACTGCTGCTCACTGCTGATCACTGCTGCTCACTGCTGCTAACTGCTGCTCACTGCTGCTCACTGCTGCTCACTGCTGCTCACTGCTGCTTACTGTTGCTCACTGCTGCTCACTGCTGCTAACTGTTGCTCACTGCTGCTCACTGCTGCTCACTGCTGCTCACCGCTGCTCATTGCTGCAATTATTTAAAACCAATAGAGGGGTGCGAGAAGCAGCACAGGGTGACAAAGAACCATAATTAGCCGTTGCAGTATATAGTATTATTAAACAAATTATTAGAGTATCTTAGAGTACTATTAATTACTATTAAAAAGCTCTTATATACCTACTGGATTCGACCGCTATTTGATATTACATACAGGACGAAATGAGAGATAATAGGCAAAGTAGTTGGTAAAGTATTTAGTAATACTACAATTTAGTAGTAATTAGTTTATTATCTCCTATCGGGCCATAGTTGGTCAGTTCGTACAAAATTTGTAAAAAATTCGTACAGTTCGGCATCTTTTAAAAGTTCGGGATTAGTTCGGGAAAAATTCGCCTCATAAATTTTCGAAAAGCTAACTACAAAAATCTTATAATTTGAAATATGAGGGGTTTAAGTTTTGTGTTTTGACTTTTGACAAATGATACAAATTGTATAACTGAAGTATTAGTAAGCATGAAAATCACTTCTCAACTTTATCAAGGAAATCAATGCAATAAGTCACATCAACTTTGCTATCAGTATCAGTATCATCTAAACTTGTTGTGTCCGACTCAAAAACCTGATTTTACAGTTTGAGGTTTGAATTTTTCGGACTGAATGATTAAAAAACAACATTTTTTTTCTTAAAATTCGGTAAAAATTCCTCGTCAGCTTTTTAAAATTCGTACAGTTCGGCACCTTTTAAAAGTTCGTACAGTGCCTACTGACCAACTATGTATCGGGCACACCACGTTTCATGAGGTTCACGATTTCACCCAACAGATGCTCTCATATTGTTATTGGTCATCTCCGAGATAGCATCATCATGATATTACATACACTTACAGGATGAAATGAGAGATAATAAGCAAAGTAGTTGGTAAAGTATTTAGTAATACTACAATTTAGTAGTAATTAGTTAATTATCTCCTATTATCTCCTATATATCGGGCACAACACGTTTCATGAGGTCCACGATTTGCAGCCGCGCCCGCCGCCCCGGATGCTCTCATATTGGTCATCTCCAATATAGCATCATTATTTCTCTCGACCACCCCTAGCTGCGAGGAAGAGCAACGATCTCGTTAGCAACGATCTCGTTAGCAACGATCTCGTTAGCAACGATCTCGTCAGCAACAATCTCGTCAGCAACAATCTCGTCTTCGATGCGAAGCAAGAATAATATTAATAGTTCGCGCAGCGCATCGAAGCGGCGGCGTCTTCCACTCTTCCAAGAACGGACATTAAAATGAACGCTAGGACCTCTGATAAGGTATAGTTTGCCACGTTCAGTTGTGAACCTCCTTTGTGGATGGGAATATTATTCGATTGATGATTACTTTAGCTAGTATACCAAAAACAATATTATATTGCCCGAACTCGCTTTCAGCGGTTAAATTTTTGTGTCAAGGGTCGCTTTATTTGTTGTAGAAACAAGAGCTGGGAAGATATTCCCCCCCCCCTCTCCGGGTCGAATAGAGGGTCTGACGGCCACCTAGCTCTGAGTTTTGATTTTAGCGGCAATGTTTGAGAAAACAACATGGAGGAATCTCCAGAATAGTCTCATTTTGGGCCGAATAAAAGTTTGCAACTTAAACTTTGCAGATTTTTGTACTCTGATTGGCTGAATTGTGTCACGTGCTAGCTGCTTGAACATCGGAATGTTTCAATAAATTATATATAAGCAAGCTAGGTAAGATTTTAGGTTTAATTCTCAGTGGCAATGGCTGGAAGGGGCCTTGTTAATGTTAGGAGCTCCTTCACTCATTCAGTCGATTTGGTCAACGTGTCAATACGCCCTACAAAATCTCAAATGTCTATTTTAATATTTACATGCAGTATTTTAGACACCTCGATATATTTTGGCGATTTGAGGCTGTTTTGAGCTGCCGCTTATTTTGAAAAAAATAAGCGGCAAAAATATAATTATTTTTGTTGTTTTTAACATTGACTTTAAAAAACTAAAAACCTGCCGAACTTCAACTACTGAACTACTGCAGTGGTCTGTGATTGGTGCTTTACAATACTTTAGTACTTTATACAGTACCTACGCAAGTTTAAAATATTGTTGAACCGTTAATTGTTTTCGCTGAGTATAAACTCTCAAGTACTCTAAAAAAGGAGGAAAATAAAATCAAGCCTTATATGCCATATATATAATAGTTCAGCTTGAGCAACTGAAAATTTTTAAAAATAGCGAAATGAGGTTATCGTTCGTTTCGAATAGTCGTTCAGGACCAGCTAGAGAACGGGTTGAAAAAGTTACGTGACAGTCGAGTGTAGAGTGATTAATCATCATCTTATCATCTTTCTAGGGAATGTCGTACTGTAGAGCTTTTGTGGTGTTTGCTGCGATCTTTTTGCAGAGTGTTCTCGTGTATTCATGCTCAGTGGTTCAATCATCTTTCTACGTCACCCATCTCGTCAACAGAGGTTTGGAGATGTTTCATTTTTCAATGTTAGTTTCACAAAATTATACGTTTGTTTGAACTTCGTTTTTTTTAAATGTATGCTTATTCCTTTATTGAATTCCGTGTTAACACTTATTCATGGATGGGACCGAAATTTAAGGATCTCTGATCAGTGATTAGTGGTTTAGTCGAATAACAATATTTTCATTTCAGGAATCCCAAAGCTCCAAGTAGGTTTGATCGGGATGGTTCCTGGCGTTGGCTTCATTTGTAGCACCTTTTTTGATGGCACGGGCTACTTCCTTCATACCAGGAAGATGTCCTTGAGAATAGCTCAGTGCATGTTTATGGCTATAGTCATAGTAAACTGTGTTGGTAGGTTTTTTATTTATAAAATTTATAAATAAAAATTTAATATAAATAGGTCATAGATCAGACAAGGCTGGTCGGTCGGAGGTCGATCGGAGGTCGGTCAGGCGCCGGTCGGAGGTAGGTCGCCCGACCTACCTCCGACCGACCTCCAACCGACCTCCGACCGGTGCCCGACCGACCTCCGACCGGCGCCCGACCGACCTCCAACCGACCTCCGACCGACCTTCGACCGACCTCCGACCGACCTACGACCGAACTCCGACCGACCTCCGACCGACCTCCGACCGACCTCCGACCGACCTCTGACCGACCTCCGACCGACCTCCGATCGACCTCCGACCGACCTCCGATCGACCTCCGACCGACCTCCGACCGACCTCCGACCGGCGCTCGACCGGCACCCGACCGGCGCCCGATCGACCTCCGACCAACCTCCGACCAACCTCCGAACGACCTCCGACCGACCTCCGACCGGCGTTCACCTACCGCCGACCGGCGCCCGACCGACCTCCGACCGACCTCCGACCGACCAGCCTTGTCTGATCTATGACCAAATATTCAACTGCTGCAATTGACGCTTGACCGATTTATTTTTTACTGTAATGATTTATGGATATTGATTTTTGAATTTTAAATTGTTACTCAGTTACTGTCTCCTAGCAATAATCATTAACCTTCAGTTATGGGACTCGTCGAGTTGCTCCCGACAGACTACAACCAACTTTTGGCTGCTATTCTGATTATTCAACGTACCCTTCACGGTTTTCTGGCTTTTCTAACCAGTAAATTGACGTTGGAATGCTGCAGAGCATGGTTTCCTGACCACTTCAATCTTACAAATGGGCTCCAGTGTAGTGGTATGTACTTTGGAGGATCTCTGGCAATTCTCATGGGAGGGTACGTCTACGAAGCTTATGGCTATCAGATGCCTTACGTGTTCACTGGAATAATTTGCCTCCTATTTTGGTTATACAATTTAATTTGCATGCCAAAAAACTCAGATCCAGTGATAGTTAAAGTTAAAGAGGTAGGGGACACTATTGAAGCTCCGTGGTCCAAAGAAGAAAGGTTAACTGAAGCTGCAAACCCCGGTAATGTCCCTGAAATGTCCGAGGACGTAGCTTCATCCCTGAACCTGTCCTGGCGTGTTGCCATCCCTGTCGCTGCTATGATTCTCACGGTAGTGCTTGAAGGTTTCACGGCCGCCATAACCACTCCTTACCTGAAAGATATCTACGATATACCCATTAGTCGTGGAAGCAGTTACGTGTTCGTGCAGTACATTGGATTGATGATAGGGGCTGCTAGTTCCGGCTCAATGTTGCAACTAGGGTGGTTTTCTGCTAGCAAAGTCACAGCAGGAGGGTCAATTCTCTGTGTTTTAGGCGTGATGCTTGTCTTCCCAGGCGAGGGTATCTACTTCCTCTATAAAGAAGTTCCAAATATAGCTTATCTCGGGATATTCCTCCAAGGGTACGGAAGCCAAATGATTGGGGTAGCCACCCTTCCAGCACTCGAAGAGACACATGTAGTATTAGGTGGAAGACCCTACACAAGCAAAAACAAGTCCACTGCAGCTTCTATCTGGCTAAGTTCATGGATGATGTCCGTTTATGGAGGACACTTAGTGGCCTTGATGGTGATGGAGCTCATGAGCTTCAGTAACGGTGGATGGATGCTAGCAGTATTCAGCTCAGTATCTGTATTTATGAGCATTGCTCAGGATATTGCCATCTGGAGAGCTAAAGCTGCGTTGAAGCGAGCTGAAGTTAAAGTGAGTGTAATAAAGGTTAACAAATTATCTAGAGAAGGAGTCAAGAATCTATCTGTGCAAGATATGGACTGCTAGCAGGAAGGACTAATTTCACCTCTGACACTATTACTTTAATAGAGGACACTGAACATGGAACTATTATTAGAGTTTAAATTTATTGGTGGTCCATATCACATATGGTACGGGGTATTGTGTTAGAACTAAAAGGATTTTAATGATTATAACCATTTAATGAGATGATAAAGCTGGAATTTTATTTAAAAAAGTTTTATAAACAAAATAATGTTTTAAACAATAATATTATAAACAATGATATGATTGTATAATTTTTAATTAACACATGGGATAATGATAGGATATATGTATAACTATATCGAAATTAAACATAGTTTTAAAAGTTGCCCTTTTATGCCCCTTTGGGCCAAAGACCGCATGGTGGTATTATGATTAAAAACATGGTTTCAATTACTTTTGAATGTTGATTCAGATTAGTTTCATGTAATATGTGAATTATTTTAGAATATTTACTAACTTTAACTTATTCAGTAATATAACAAAGTTCAACAAAAAGAATCAAATATAGCACTTTTCAATTCCCAAAATTTAAATGGGACCGCTAGAATAGTGTGAAACAGAAAAAAAAGAGAAACAAACTGACCTCTCAAATCATGCAAGGCAAATTTCCGTCGATTCATAATTATTGGCTTGTCGCGGCGCCGCGATTTTTGGCCAAAATAATCGCGGCGCCGATTGTATAATACAATAATGTATTATACCAGTTATAGGAATATTACCACATTTAGGAAACTAATTCAATATAGTGATAAATTATAGGCTGCAAATCACACCAGAAACATTTGTTCGTCCCACACTACATCGGATATTTTTGACCTCCTGCTCCACCGTTAGAAAATTGTATCGTTTCGAAGCAGTGATCGGTATTACAAAGGTTAAGATCTACAATGTGCAATGTATTTCGTCCACAAAAAAGGTCGAATACCGCGGTGATCGATATCAGTTCGAAAGAGCAGATAAGAGAAAATGGTTTTACTACATACTACACTGATAAAACTTAAAAGTATGTCCATCCTATAACATTTTTATTTGGTTGTTTGGTTACTTGGCTAATCTCACCATTATGCTCACATTGTTTTATGAAACCCGAGATGTTTTTCTATTTTCTTGCCCCGACCTCGTATCGCTACTTTAAGAGAATTCATTTTTGGATACACCACATTGGATATTTTTGACCTCTATAAATATTGTATTTTTAAAATTGTAAAACTTTTAAAGAACAGTACCGTTTTGAAAGTGTATACTTAACTCACAAATATTATTATATTTATATTAAATAAAAGTTCTAAACAAGGGATAGTTAAAAAACAACACCCAAGTCTAATCTTTCCCTAAAACAAATAACTAACTAATTATCAAAACGTCACTGTAATTTCTGCCAATATTTCTTATCATAAGCTAAATTACGGGGATAATTCAAATCAAAAATATTACTCATAAACTCACGATTACTCTTTGTTTAAAACAATACACTCAGTCATTAAATATAGACAGTTAGCTTTAGCGAAGGCTTCAGCGTCTTTAATTTTAACCATTTAAAGACTTCACCGTTTTTAATATAATCAATAATAATTAATCAATTCAATATAATTAATTAAGTACAAGTACAAGTATTCACTCGTTTTCCTTCCATTCGACTGCAAGCATTATAAACTTTCAGTTCACAGCTGCGCAATCACGCCACTGCAACAAGGTATTTGATAATAGCTTTGGCACGTATATTTGCTTGAGGGCGAGAATAAAATCAAATAAATTATTCCATTTGAACAACACTTAGCAACATATACTCAGATATGACAGTGAAGTACGGAAGTTTAAACGTAGAAGAACCAGAAAATATAAGCACGGAAAAAAGCCTTGATGAGCTAACCCAAGAACTGGGCCTAGGAAAGGCTCACTGTTTTGTTTGGAGTAGCCTCGCCTCCATTATGATGATACAAAATATGGTTTACTTGCTAACAACTGTTCTAATGCCTTATCTGAGCTGTGAATGGGAATTGAGCGGCCCTTTTGAAGCTGCTATTGCTTCCTCACTTTCTATTACTTTTTGTCTAAGTGGCATTTTCCTTGGCAATCTTGCTGACAACTATGGACGCAAAAACATTATCGTTATCACTTCGGTAACCCACCTTCTGTGCGGTGTCCTGGCAGCTTTCTCGCCCAACCCAATGGTCTTTCTACTTGTTCGTACACTGCAAGGGATCTGCAACGGGGTGGGTGGCCACGTTTGTTATGTGCTTGCTGTAGAGATTGTCGGTTTTGAGTACAAGGAACTTGCAGTTTTTATAATGGTATTCAGTTCCCAACTTGGTGGCTTATATCTGTCGTTGATGGCATACTTTCTTCTCAACGAAATAGGCTGGCGTTATTTGTGTGCAGCTCTAATGGTTCCATTGCTACCAGGACTGCTTGGATTGTTAGTTGTCCCGGAATCCCCGCGATATCTGTTTGTAAAAGGAAAAACAGAAGAAGGTATTCTTAGTTTAAAGACCCTGTACAGATGGAACTGCAGATCTTTTCCTGAGTCGTATTCTGGGAAGAATGCAGTGAAGCTCGAGAAAAGAGCGGAAATTTGTGCATTGTTCCGTCACGGCTATGCTAAAACTACAATTTTCGTTACTGCTATGTTTACTCTGAACTACTGCATTTACTTAACATTTGCAGCTTATTTGCCATTAGATTCGTACAAAAGTCGTGAATCTACGACAAATGTTGTCGTTGGATTGCCTAAATGTAGTAATAGTCTAAACCAAGAAGCCTTGGTTGGCACGTTAGTAGCATTGTCAGGTGATGTACTCGGAAGCATATTGGCAGGACTTGCTGGAAGAAAAATAGGGAGAATATTAATGTTGAAGAGTCTTGGATTTCTAACCATGTTGACTGCAATCTCGATTTACTTTGACCTGAACTCAATCTTGAAAAACATACTCAACATGATGGTTCGATTGGGTGTTACCGGATTCAGACAAACTCTGTTCTACATCGCTGTGGAGGCTTACCCTACAGTTCTGAGAAGTACCTCTTCAGGATTCACCAGCTGTTTTGGAGAGGTTGGGGCGATTTTTGGTAGTTTTATGACGTACAGTATTTACCCTGTTAGTCCTGTGGCGGTTGTTTCTCTGATGGTTGGCTCTGCGGTGGTGCAGTTTGTTTTGGCGATGCTTTGGGATACGGAGACTAAGGACAATGCTTTAACAGACAGCAAGGAAGAAGAGTCTGAGTGTTGTTGTGGAAAATAAAAGCATGGACAAAATAGTAGAACTATCTAAGTAAATATTTGAGAAAAACTATAGTAATGTTTTGAGTGAATATAGTTTGAGTGTTCATTTCGGAAGCATGGATTATGAACATACATTTTAATGACAAAAGTTTTATTCAGAACTTATAATTTCTGTTTTCTTGGTCGCAATAGAAAAAGAAACAAAATATCTATTACCCTGCTCATCTGCGACAAATATTTTGCTAATCAGTCATGCCCAGTACATCGAACATGAAGGAGAATGCGATTTTATCGTTATAGGAGATAAATTCGTGGCGGTGATTGAGGTTAAAGGGCTTTCACTCCAAAAGACAGGAGAAGACATGATTAAGTTAGATGGATGTTGTGACAGCACGGTAATGCAAAGGAAAAGGATGAGGGACCTCATCAGATCAATAAACGCCTTGGTGACGGTGTTCGAGTTTACAATGTTTCCGAATATTTCCATGGAAGAGGTGGAAGAGAAATATCTCTCAGACGAGACAATCCTGTTCAGAGAGGATTTAGAGAACTTGGTACTGATTATTTACTGCTGTGAAGCGTTCTCATTGTCACCTGTCACAACGTTGAGTATGAAGACTGCCAGAGAAATGTTATGTTGCAGTTTTTTAGGATTGTGGTGCGTGAACCAAGACAATAAATGGGATTTAGATGAATGTAGCCTCTCCAAATGTGTAAAAGATGTAGATAATAAACTCAAGAGTTCACTTGTAATAAGGAAATTGGTTGAAGAAGCAGAAATTAGCCAGGGCTTAAAAAATAAATAAAAGGAAAGATGAAGAAGAACTATCCTCAAAATCCCAGGATGGTTCAAGCACCGGATCTCTTCAAAAAATATCTCAAAATAAATTGCCTGACGCAATGCCAGCTGGATGTATTCAGTAGTGATGAGACTGAGAGATTCCTTTGGGTGGACGGTCCTGCTGGCTCAGCCAAGTACTTTTTTATTACTTTTTAAAATTAATCTGTAACCTAAGATATTTTTCACAAAGAGGGTAATAGAAATCACCAAAACTTTGGAACCCCTTGAAAATTAACAATAACGCGGTTCATTGAAAATAAATCTTCACTATCTGATCAGGCAAAACGGTTGTGATGTTAAGTAAGATTATCGACCTTGCTCTGACACCACCAGAGAAGAGGATACTTCTGATGTTTACAGGCCATGACAACAACCCAGCTCCACGTGATGCAATGTTTTTACTGAACAACATCAGACAGGATCAGGGACAAAATGATTTCGCGATTATTTTGGCCAAAACGCGATTCCGTACATGCTGCGATTTCCTTTTGTCCCTGGACAGGATATAACATGTGTGATGACAAAATGTGGTTGTGAGACATGCTTTGAAGTAATTGGTCGCGATCAGGGTGATAAATTGGATCGAACACGCACATTATTATCACAGCAACTATCTGATAACACCAATAAAATCGTATTACTGAATATTGGCACTGGTTTAGCTAAAAATATAGACAGCTTGATTTCGAGGTTTGATGACGTGTTTGTCGACGATCATCAGTCGCCCGATGAACTTGTCATGATGGAGTATTGTAATTCTATATCATTAGCACATGCAAATTTTATATCTGAGGGACTGCTTCCTGTCGTGAAGAACAGAGACAGTCAAAATTCAATTTTAGATACCTTTGTAATGCGGTTTTGATTGTGTCCAAATAAAAGTTAACTTTACGTTCAACTGCAATTACAAGTTAAATCGATTACTATTAGTCTTTAGATATTGATGAGTATTTAAACGTTTCTTGATGTTTTTTAATCCATAATGCACTGATCGATTAAAAAAAGTGCTATGATTAGTCGCATATCTTTTCTTCGGGTATCCGTTTTCGTTAATCGTTTCACCACGTCTTCAAGTATAATTGTATACATACTCCCGGGATCCAGGGCACACAAATCACCATCAGTCGACATATCTGATAGTATAGCCAGAAAAGAATTCACAAAATCTTTATATACAGTATGATTTGAGGTGTCCGATCAAAAAATTGTCTTTTCTCAAAAAATTGTTTTTTTCTTTTCTTCATTTCCTTAGTCTCCACCACAAGCTGAACCAGGCTAATAAACACATTCCCAGTCCTAGAGACAGATTCGCCACGATATTGGGCAACCAGATGTTCTGAAAAATCAAGTTTAACCATGAGGTTGAAAAATAAACTTTCTAGCGGCAATCTACAGAGGATAATTTTCACGAAGATGAGATCATGCAGTGATGACTGATGATACATGTTTATCATTACATCAGAACTTGCAGGTTCAGCTTTACTTCTTTAAGTCGATTTGATTGAGCGGCTCATTTCAATTTTCAGCTGTGAAATCCGAAGCTCTGCAAAACAGAACCGAACCTTTAACCGGACTAAAACCGACCCTGCACTAAAGCTCGACTGTGTTACTTTTATCTAATTTTAAAATATTACAACACTTACATTTTCTATTCCGTAGAAAGATAGAACTTCTGAACCGTTGTTAAATTGACAGCTGATTTCTTGTACGTCACATTCTGAGGACACATTGATCAAAAAACGTCAGTTATATGGATTATAATTAGTTTTTAATCAATTATATTATGCAATGTGTGCAAGAATTGAAATTAAAGCACGTTTGAAATTCTAACTGAGTGGTTTCTAGCGTACAAATAATAATTGTAAATTTACATGGAAATTGGAAACATACCGATATGATCAACGTTGCGGAACTCATTCACCATCATGGCATTCCATGCATACCTTATCCAAGATAGGTACTTGAACGGCATAAACCAATACGGGGTTGTACTGATAATATGAAATTGAAATGAAAATATAAGGTTTAATACAACATAATACATATTATCATGGTATTATAAGATATTTAGATTTGAGGGGGGAGATGAAAAAATTATTTTTTTGTAGCTTTGAAGTTCGATTTCGAGGTGAAAGTGTTGAAAATAGTTTTGCTGAGCGAATAGTGAGTTGCACATAGTTGGCATTCATAAACATTAGTTAGTTTTCATGAATACCAAATTTATCCGATTTCTTATGAATACGACTTAGTGTACATCAGGAATATGAATAAAACATTGAACATTTTCAAAATTGTATGCAGTCCTTACTTGTCGTTTTGGTAGAGTCCTCCGAGTAAAAAACTTGGAACTGTGATCGCTAACAGTAAGCTTCCTGCTGCATCCACCGTCTTCATTACGGAGCCACAAAAAATTCCTAAAGCAGATTATATTACAATTTTATGCAGTTAAAACAATTTTTATTTATGATAGTAAAGAATTATTTCCGAAACTACTTGTACTTCGTTGAAATAAGTGGCCTGCTCCACACAAAATCACAAAGGAAGAAGGAACAAAAATAAGTCACTGAAAGTAAAGCTTTTAGGGGTCGTTCACATATTACGTAATCATTTTTTGGAACATTTTTACCCCCCCTCCTCCGTAATCAGTTTTACACATAGCTATTGTGTCAAAATGACACTAGCGTAATCATTCGGAAACCCCCCCCCCCCTCAGCTGATTACGTAATATGTGAACGACCCCTTATCCTGTGAGACAAAATCACTGACTGAGGAAGAGACCCAAACCACTGAGATACTGATAAAGTAACAGTTAAAGAAAGCTGCGAGCGAGATGTGGAGTCCTGTATTGAGGCAAGTTATTAATAATCATTGGTTTGTTAGTTTTAAAACAAAATAAATTTCTACGAGTAAAACATGATTCATTCATAAATACGAAGAAATATTTTTTTTTAATGAGTAAGCTATCTAATCTATGATAGAGTAAAAATAACCAAGTTCTAGTTCACCTGTGAAGAAGTAGAAGAATATAAGTTGTATTCCCACTAGAACATGCTCAAATGGACACTGAAAGGGGCGGGTCAGTTTGTTAAAATTTATTTTTATTCAGGTTTTTTGTTGATGCCAGTAAAATGGCACATTTAAAACAAGGAAATTTATAGAAAGGATGTCATGAAATTGCAACGTTTCAGTGCTATGAGTTGTTCTCTTCTAGCATTACAGAAGGCTTACCGCCATCACGATTGTGGTCAGGAGGTATGGGAACCCCCTGCGAATTCGTCGCGATTATTCGATTGTTTGCCGCGAATATGCCGCGATTTACAAAATTCCCGCCGCGATTTTGCGGCGATTCTGCCTAGTTTGACCTGTCGCGGCGCCGCGATTTTCTTTTTTCCCTGCTTACCGCCATTACGATTGTGGTCAGGAGGTAAGGGAACGCCCCGTAAATCCCACGTTTGTAGTCCCTCTGTACCACCTGAATTAAATATGTTATATTAGTAAATTATAATTATAGGTCAAATCACTTTTAATTGTTAGATATATAAATTATCGCGATTAAAAGCCATAGCCATTATTGAAATCTAAACGTTCATTCTCGTTGTCGGAAAAATCCACACGTGCGATCGAAACATTTGTAATGAACAATAAATGCATCAATCATGATTTTTTCATGGAGACAAATAACGTTTTTGCTTGGAAGGTGATACAAAATGTAGTTAGCTTTATCTGAAACTCACTGGAAATTGTTGAGGAATCAACGAGGTGGATGCATGCGACCAACAAAATGCCAGGAATGTAACGAAGAAAAAGAGTAATCCAGCTTTATTCTGCGCAACTTGCTGGTCATTCTTAGTGTGGAAAAATCCCAGCGCCAATATTAGACCAACTGCCTGTGAATATGTTAACTGCTGATCTTCGATATAATCTCAATTGAAAAATAAACTTCAAATAATATTTAAATTAAGATATTTGAGATTAAAGCAAAGTCTGTTGATAAAAGCTTCATCTTAAATCATGTCCCAATAAATCTTGAAGTTGAATTCTTAAAAGGTGTAAAAAATAAAAATATTAACACCTACCACAGTTTGAATAACTTGTTGAGACCCATCAGGAAGAGACCTTTTAGCTACGATGTAACCGCTCTTAAGGTTCTCTTTTACCTGTTCCACAAATGAAGCTGTTAGAACTTTCCGACTGTAATAAGGTATTATAGGGGTGTTATCATTGATTTCTTTACTGGTACTATACTACTTATAAGACTTACCAGTACGTCACATGTTACGTCACATGTTACGTCACATGTACGTCACATGTTACGTCACATGTTACGTCACATGTTACGTCACTACTACGTCACATGTTATTTAATGCTTTAATGTAATGGTTGAAAAGTCCATCAGCAAATTGTTCATTAACGATATAGTGCAAATTATTTCTCCCTCTTGAGAAGTCTGATCACTCTGAATATTCCGTCAAAGACATTTAGATCCGGCAAAAAGAAAGGTTACCTGATGATATTAGGCTTGACAGTATTGATTTTGGCTGTGTAAGAGATTCCCTCATCCATTCTTCTGTAGTGGTCAGAATCTTTGTAGTAGTTGGTAAACGACTGTGATATGAAAGATACTATAAATCTCCGTTTAGGATTCAACTAAATCATCAGTTTAAGGAATTATTTCATGATCCTGTTTCCACAAACCTAAATTTTTCATTTTTTTCCCTTCCACAATTTTCCACACAAACCTCAATTTTTCCAATATCTTCTATCTGAGTCTCCTTCTTGATAGTGAGCTCTTTAATAAAATGATCAGCTGGGTTATGCAATACTGGGCATGGTCTACCCAGATTCTCAAAGTGTTTTACTGCATCCTCACTTGTTCCTAAAAATGCTATGTTTCCCTCAGCCATCAGACAAACCCTGGAACAGAAATTGTGTTAAATTGTAACATTCTATTTATATATTAGCGACAAGAGAAACGCCATTGTTGGACGTGAGGAGAGTGAGGACTCCTCAAACTACATTAAATTAATTTCTTCAGTAACGTCCTCAATAAATGTAATAGATTTGTACTGTTGTAATTAGTTTAAAACTTGACATTGTCAGGTGGGTGGAGGAAATTAAAAACGTGTCTAAAATGGCGGCATGTCAGTATTACTACCGTTCAGACTCGTGAACCGTATAAAAGGTATTTTAAGATATATCCCTGAAGGAGGGAAAATTCATTATCCCTGATCAGTCTCGAGGGCATGCTCGGAAAAGTACGCGGTTTTACTTGAAATTTACGAAACTCCAAACCTTAAAAAACAATTGTATTTCTATTGTATTTGTACCTGTCAAAGTGGGAGTAGTCCTCGGAGCTAGGGTGACTCATAGTCATCAGTACTGTGCGGTTAACACTTGCTAAACTCGCTATAGTCCTCACCTGCGCAAAGTTTCATATTATTTGTATCACTATTATATATACAAAATAGCTATTATATTGTTATTATTCAATTCCGTGTGAGGTACTATGGTATGATCTGATTCCACGAGAACAGGTAAGGACCAAGAAATTATTGAATGTGATCTTACAACGTTTTCAGCTTCAAAATACTCCACATTCAGTGTTGGTTCGTCTATGAACAGAATCAATGGATCCGTCAACATCTCCAGCCCAATGGACAACAGCTTTCTTTCTCCACCTTTGTAAAAGCTTCATAAGTATTTACTATATTTACACGCCCCCCGTGTGTAACGTGTAAGTGTAACGCCCCCCCCCCCCCCCAAATGTTTGTTGAATTACGAATCTAGAAATTTTATGTGAATTCAAAGAAACATTGAACAATAAAATTGTTTACCTGAAATACAGCCAAGTCCGATTCTTGCCTTACCGACCAGTGAATTTTCACAGCTCTTTAGTCCCAGCTGAAATCGAATACGTTTTTGCATGATCTTATAATGAAAGTAATTATAGTTGCCGCTACGAAAATTGCTATTACACGCGATAACTATTTAAATATTAAAAGTGATACCTTTTCGATAACTTCCTCAACCTTCTCCGTTCTTTTTGCTAATCGTTGCCGTCTGTCTAGTCTTAAGTTTGCCTGCAGAATAGTTTGATAAGCTGATAGTTCTAACCAAAGTAGAAATCTTACAGATTCTTGGTGACTGCAGAAAGCTTTGATCTTATATTATTACACGAAAGCTTAGAAACTTACATGAAACATAAACGTCTCCCGCACAGTTAGTTCACCAAAAAAGTGATCGTCTTTGTCAACGTAAGAACTGATCAGTGACATCTGGGAGCTTTCTATAGGCCATCCGTTCACTTGAATTGTACCTAGAGTGAAAGTGAAAGTGAAAGTGAAAGTGAAAGTGAAAGTGAAAGTGAAAGTGAAAGTGAAAGTGAAAGTGAAAGTGAAAGTGAAAGTGAAAGTGAAAGTGAACCTAAAGTGTTTGTACTGAATATCTTTATAGATTGAATGCGACCTAATATAATTAATTTAGGTTCACGTTTGCGAAGAGCTGTTCGGTTATCACTCATATACAAAACGGGTGGAATAGTTGGAGTTGAAAACTTAAAGAGAAATATAAAAGTATAAAGCATGATGGAATTTTTCAAAATTTGCACATCAGCTTTTGTCTATCAGGGTCTTTCTAAATGCTTTCTCATCCAATCAATTTACCTGGTCACAAATTAGCAATCACTAGTACACTTACCTGTAACTTTCACATTTTCCATTCTTATCATTGCAGCGGTTTTCAACATTGTAGTCTTTCCAGCTCCGCTAGGTCCTAGAATGGAAACAAACTGTCCTGGCTCGACCAGACCAGAAACTGAAAAAACACCCGATTATATGAGTTGCTCAAAATAAAGAAATAGCACAGCCAACCAGCCTCATATTAATTTAATTAATAATTGCAAAATGTAAAAAACTGAACGTAACATTTAAAAAACATGCTGTTCCACTCTGAAGTACCCTCGCAAAATGAAACCCACCTCTCTTTTTTAATAAACAAATAAATGAACAAATAAATTATTTTAATTAAAAAACCCACCTCTCTTAAGAATGTCCTGACAAAGGTATTTGCCCAGTTTGTTACTGCACCATGGAGCTTTAGTGTACGTCTCTGTGGAGGCGTGTACATCTCTCCAGGCTAAAGTAGCCGAGGTCAGGGTATCAAACCTCTCACCTTCTTCTGTTAACTGAAGAGTTAGACTAGGTTACAGAGGTCAGGGTATCAAACCTCTCACCTTCTTCTGTTAACTGAAGAGTTAGACTGGGTTACAGAGGTCAGGGTATCAAACCTCTCACCTTCTTCTGTTAACTGAAGAGTTAGACTAGGTTACAGAGGTCAGGGTATCAAACCTCTCACCTTCTTCTGTTAACTGAAGAGTTAGACTAGGTTACAGAGGTCAGGGTATCAAACCTCTCACCTTCTTCTGTTAACTGAAGAGTTAGACTAGGTTACAGAGGTCAGGGTATCAAACCTCTCACCTTCTTCTGTTAACTGAACAGTGAGACTAGGTTACAGAGGTCAGGGTATCAAACCTCTCACCTTCTTCTGTTAACTGAAGAGTTAGACTAGGTTACAGAGGTCAGGGTATCAAACCTCTCACCTTCTTCTGTTAACTGAAGAGTTAGACTAGGTTACAGAGGTCAGGGTATCAAACCTCTCACTTTCTTCTGTTAACTGAAGAGTTAGACTAGGTTACAGAGGTCAGGGTATCAAACCTCTCACCTTCTTCTGTTAACTGAAGAGTTAGACTAGGTTACAGAGGTCAGGGTATCAAACCTCTCACCTTCTTCTGTTAACTGAAGAGTTAGACTAGGTTACAGAGGTCAGGGTATCAAACCTCTCACCTTCTTCTGTTAACTGAAGAGTTAGACTAGGTTACAGAGGTCAGGGTATCAAACCTCTCACCTTCTTCTGTTAACTGAAGAGTTAGACTAGGTTACAGAGGTCAGGGTATCAAACCTCTCACCTTCTTCTGTTAACTGAAGAGTTAGATTAGGTTACAGAGGTCAGGGTATCAAACCTCTCACCTTCTTCTGTTAACTGAAGAGTTAGACTAGGTTACAGAGGTCAGGGTATCAAACCTCTCACCTTCTTCTGTTAACTGAAGAGTTACACGGATCTTCAGGGTTACCTTTAATTTAGATTTCTTCATCCCTAAATAGTAAATATGAGCATATTGTTTTCGGCTTGGGTTTTGGGCATGTTAATGTGATTTGGCATAATTTGGCCAAATATAAGCTGCACCACGGCACTAATGGGCGCTAATGAAGGGCTGCGATCTGCTCAAAAGTCACGTGACCTAGTTTGTTGATGAACTGCCCCACCTCAATAGCTTAATAGGAGGAGTGATAAGTTTTAGAATTGCACTACAATGGAACAATATTATTATTCAAATAGCAGCGCTACCTCACAAATCTCCAGGACATCAGCTTTATTAGACTTATCCAGTGAGTGAACTGAACCTCTCCTCCCTGAGTAATCAGCACGTGACGTCTCGTCGTCCAGTAGCCGGCTATGCTCTGAATCTACTGAACCAGCTTCTGACATCTTCTTTGCTGTGTTATTGTGCCTGTGATTGTACCAACCCTACTTGTATATAACGGTAGTCCCACTTTTATAACGTGGCTTTTGGGACGGAAAATTAAATGTGAAATAACTGAATTGAAAACTTTCAATCCAAGAAAACGGGATCAAAAATGTTTTCCAAAGAGCTGTGTTGTACAAGGCCGTATACTGTGTTCAACAAATCAACGCGGACATTAATTAACGCAATAAAGTGCATACATGTTGTGAGTGTTTACTATACAAGGAGTATACACTGCATATAAATAAAATGAATCACTTTCATGACAAACAAAAGCATAGAACAATTGTAGAATATAGATAATTCAACTTCCTTCATCTTCGAAATAGAGTGGTATCCCCATTAATACTGATTGTTTACTCGGCAATAGTGAGAATTGAGAAGATACTCAGAATCACAACTCTTATAAGCCAATTTGAAAATACATCGATTTGTTTTATATCGTCTTTTCGCTGATTCTGGGAAATCAAATATGGTAAAGTAGGAAGAAAAATGTAAATTCACGCGCCCCTAAATGTTTTTATATGAGGTAATAACTTGATTATAATAACAGGGAGAGGGGGGTACACGTCATGTAAATATCCTGCAATTCTCCGAAAATTTGGGACTCGAATTCTATTTCCAATGGACTGCACACTTTCCGGTTGTATAATATTATGAGCTATCTCTTCCTGATACACCGCCCATTAGGCCTAATACACCGCCCGTTAGTTCTGAGGAGTGTAGCGGCCCTAATGATTAGGGGCTGCACTCCTCAGAACTCAAAGACTCAAAGAGAGATCTCCTCTTTGTAAGATTTCCTCTCTGTGATCACAAAATTTGAATTGTGATGGCCCTGTTAAAGCTTAACGAATCTCAACATAGGTGACATAGATTATAGGTTAAGGTAGGAAGCTAGCTTACTGGCCTGGAAATATGTGGAACAACATGATGCTGATTGATACACGTGACTACAATGAATTTTGTAACATCACCACCAAGCGCTTGGTTAACTCAAATATTTGACATCCAGCTAATTTTATATTCAAACCATTTAATTTAAACTTGAAATGAGCAGATTGATGGTATGATAAAGCAAGAAAAAAACGTATATCAGAATGAGAAGATTTATTATTATTATATAAAAATCAGGTAAGGTATGAAGTAACATATAATACTAACAATCTACTTACTGAAAAATGTAACATTTCCACACCGAGTAAAACATGTCAAATTGAAAAATTACTTCTATAGATTTACTCAAACACTTTTTAGCAATTACAACTGTTGGATCAGTGAGTTGAACAGATATCAACCACATCTAAAAATTTACTATCTAGAGCTAACCAGTAACCATGCGATGACGGTATAGTCAAAACCAGCCTTCATTTCACTCACACTTTCAAACAAAACATTGTTCTTGAAAATCACAAATGTAAACGATCGGCTTTCCTTCTGATAATAAAATTCTAATTTATATCCGCTAGACTTTGAATACGTACAGAGTTCAGTTGAAACGAGCTTCATCTGGTTGTGTATTCTTTTTGGGTAGTCCCATTGAGTGATGAAGCAACATCCGTCGCATGTCATGTCAGGACCAGAGAGAGTCAGGACCAACCAGAGAAAGAGTCAGGACCAGAGAGAGTCAGGACCAGAGAGAGTCAGGACCAGAGAGAGTCAGGACCGACCAGAGAAAGAGTCAGGACCAGAGAGAGTCAGGACCAGAGAGAGTCAGGACCGACCAGAGAGAGAGTCAGGACCAGAGAGAGTCAGGACCAGAGAGAGTCAGGACCAGAGAGAGTCAGGACCAGAGAGAGAGTCAGGACCAGAGAGAGTCAGGACCAACCAGAGAGAGAGTCAGGATCAGAGAGATAGCCAGGACGAGAGAGAGAGAGAGTCCGTACCAGAGAGAGAGATAGAGTCAGGACCGACCAGAGAGAGAGTCAGTACCAGGGAAAGAGAGAGAGAGAGAGAGAGTCAGGACCGAGAGTCAGGACCAGAGAGAGTCAGGACCAGAGAGAGTCAGGACCAGAGAGAGAGTCAGGATCAGAGAGAGAGAGAGAGAGACCTGTTACAAAAAGTAATAATAAAAGTGCGGTATAGTAAGGCTAACAAATATAACATAAAGTATTCATGCGAGCTAGGCTCTGCAGTTCATGAATTCAGAAGTGAAGTCTAATGTAATGACCACATACGCTTCTTTAGGAGGGGGATCATGAGGGAGGCCGGAGGAAGATATAGAACAATACCAAGAAGGTCATCGGGATGTGGAGGTAAGGGTAGAGCTGCGAGGTCAAACTGAAACATTTGAATGTTGCCTCAAATTGATAAACTCAACTCTGATGTATAAAACTTACCTACAAGAACTCTACCAGCTATCTTGATAAAACCATTTTAAAAACAAATCTTGCTGTGTTTACTGCTTTGTAAAAAAGATATTACCCAGGGGATAGGGTGATTTTTTGAGGCCGGTGTGCTTTTTGAGGATGTGCTAGGTCTTGGGTTTTTCTTATTCACGATTTTTATCTGAATTAAATTAGGTTTATACATTTCATAACAAAATTAAACAGCGCTAATAATGTACGCTTTCTGAAAAACCTATAACTTACCAACTACACGTATTGAGTCATATAACGAAAATGAACAGCTCTAATGAATTTTGCTTTTAAATAAAAAATAGGGGGGAAAACTTTAACTCACAGGTGGGGTGCCCTTTTCAGTGTCTTTCGAGGGGCTTTAGAGGCCAGGTTGGGGTTGGTTGGGTTGGGGCTGGTGGGGTTGTTGCTTTGGAGGTTGGGGTTGGTTGGGTTGGGGCTGGTGGGGTTGGGGCTTTAGAGGTTGGGGTTGGTTGGGTTGGGGCTGGTGGGGTTGGGGCTTTAGAGGTTGGGGTTGGTTGGGTTGGGGCTGGTGGGGTTGGTGCTTTAGAGGTTGGGGTTGGTTGGGTTGGGGCTGGTGGGGTTGGGGCTTTAGAGGTTGGGGTTGGTTGGGTTGGGGCTGGTGGGGTTGGGGCTTTAGAGGTTGGGGTTGGTGGGGTTGGGGCTGGTGGGGTTGGGGCTTTAGAGGTTGGGGTTGGTTGGGTTGGGGCTGGTGGGGTTGGGGCTTTAGAGGTTGGGGTTGGTGGGGTTGGGGCTGGTGGGGTTGGGGCTTTAGAGGTTGGGGTTGGTTGGGTTGGGGCTGGTGGGGTTGGGGCTTTAGAGGTTGGGGTTGGTTGGGTTGGGGCTGGTGGGGTTGGGGCTTTAGAGGTTGGGGTTGGTTGGGTTGGGGCTGGTGGGGTTGGGGCTTTAGAGGTTGGGGTTGGTGGGGTTGGGCCTGGTGGGGTTGGTGCTTTGGAGGTTGAAGGCGGCTGAGATACCGTCATGAGTCCTGATAACTCCAGGTAGTTATCCCTTTTGATAACTACCGCCCGACATGGGGTGTTCAGCTGAGAAATGCAAAACATGAGTGAATAAATTATTAATTATCTATAAGTGTAATTAAGTTTCCCCCTGTTTAATCAAGACATCTTGCAACTTTGAAAAAATTCAACAAATTCACCTGAACTTCTAAAATTATTGATATCAGCATAAGAAGCATTACCTCTAGGTTCGGGGTGGGCTGTGAGGCCCACCACCGATATATCTGCACCTCCCCTCCTTCTTCAATCATTGTTGTTTTAGACAGATATACCTCACTGTACTGATGGCCGTTTTTTGTTTTCTTCTCCATGCTCACTCCTACATAAAAAACCACCCCCGACACGATTCCTTTCATATTCTGAATATAAGTGAATTATAAAGTAAAATGTCCAATGTAAGCGTAACGGTAATCTTGAAATTGTTGTACAAAATGAAGTATGGAAATTGTGTAAGCAGTCTCTATTTGCTTAAGATTTGTAGATTATTTGTAGCAATTTAGGGTACGAACAACGAAAACGAGGGTTACAAGATAACAAATTATATAATAATACAATGACTAATTCGAGAAACTTTTACTTCAAACCCTATATATAACCAGACTTATATCACTCAACCCTCACCCAACCCTCGCTGACCGTACCTTAACTTATCTCTAACTTAATCTAACTAACTCCGGAGAGAGCACGAGTTATTTTGAGAAGCGGAAAATAACTTTAACTGTTTTTCGAACACAGAGCATCTGTATTTATATAAGTTAGAAATTACCTTGCGTGCACAGGTACTTACTACTGCAATTTATCTTGAACACTAACAATTAACGTACTTGACAATGCAGTTTATCTCGAACACTAACAATTTACGTACTTGACAATGCAGTTTGTCTTGAACACTAACAATTTACGTACTTGACAATGCAGTTTGTCTTGAACACTAACAATTTACGTACTTGACAATGCAGTTTATCTCGAACACTAACAATTAACGTACTTGACAATGCAGTTTATCTCGAACACTAACAATTAACGTACTTGACACTGCAGTTTATCTCGAACACTAACAATTAACGTACTTGACAATGCAGTTTATCTTGAATACTAACAATTTTTATTTAAAAGTACTTTATTTAAAGTTAGAGCGACAACTTACTTGAATGAGCAGACCCTCTGTTTAGTGAATGGTTCACAAGTCGCAATCAAACCACCTGTTCCCATAGTCACGTTAGCGAACGTCAGCGAACCTCTCTGAACATTTTATAGATACAAATACAAATTATTTATAAATTTCGCGAACCTCTCTGAACATTTATAGATAAAATAAAAATTATCTATATAGGGCATTAATCTTCTACTAACACGTTTTCGGTTTTCTATGTGGCTGTATGAAGTATGAACCCAGAGCCCTCGTTAAAATGTATTTCTATTCAATTTCTGATCCTATCCCGACTGAAAGTTTGGGTAACGTTTGTAGTTACATGTAAAGATGTAAGTCAGTAAGTGGGTTTGTATCTGTCGGCTTTATTTTTTCATTTAAATAGCCGTTATACGATTGCGATTAACGATAATTCGAATTCATGATTTAACAATTTCAACAATTTCATGATATATCAAATACAATATTAACGCTACTGAAAAATAAAATCTAAATAGTGTCTCACAAAATTGAAATACAATGACAAAAATAATCAAAACTTTTAAAAATATAAAATGATAGCATTGAAATTACAAAATATTCCAAACAGTAAACTGAAAAAATTCAGTTTCTTCCCCTTGTTAATGCGGGGGATAGCTGTCCCAACATTTACACATTATCTGATGTAAATTTTGCCCCACGTGCTGAGATCATGCGCGCCTTCTACGTTAATATAGTCACGTGACGTAGCAAGTACCAGCTTGTTCCAAGGTCCACCACATCTTGATTCGTCACACCTGACCTCTGTGCACGTGGTGTCTTCATTTAGTGACATGTGCCAGTCCTGTAGGAGAGGATTTAACAAATTAGGTCTGGGAATTTAGGGTTTTAGTTAAACGTTAGGGTTTTAGTAAAAAGTTAGGGTTTGAGTGAAATGAAAGGGATCCTCTGCGATGGTCAGAATGTAGTTGATTATAGTTACTGGTTCATACAATGGAAAATTGGCCCTGAAACTGTACAACTACAATTATAAACTAAAACGACAATTATCATGATCGCTGAAAACAAAAGGTTTTTTAACACACCCACCATAGACTTAGCGTTATAACTACTGAGCATGCCAGCTCCCATCAGACCACATAGAGTTCCACCAAAACCCAGCACAGGTGTCCTCTCAGTGGAACCCGGATTAGTGTCCATCCTGTTGCAACCTGGATACAGGAGTTAGAAAGTGAAAGCGATATTCTTATAACTTATAACTTCTGGGATTGACGAGATGTGTTCCGATGATAAGGAATGTGACATCAGACAAGCATGTCTTATCGGCCCTAATTAACCCGGCCCTAATTTGGTCAACCAAAAATTTGTTACGGCCCTAACACCAAGTATGGCCACAGGAGCAAAATGATGATTAATGAGGGCAGGAAAAATAAAGGCCGATAAGCAGGTAAGGTACCTAATTCCTTAGCTCTAGCAGGGTAGATCAGAAGTACTCCAGTCTTTCTCCATTTTGAACTGCTCGACTCTACGTTATGACCGGGACCTTTGACGGGTTCTGTAGTGCAGTGCTCTACTTTTCCAAGGAGATCTATCAGGGTGACTTTCGGGTCCCCCAGGTAGAAGCTCATCCAACCATAACTGAGATAAAAGAAAATAGCTGTGACAATCGTTATAAATATGATAATAAAAATAGATTAACCTAATATCTACTAAAAATTATATATTCAGGCAGAACAGAAAATGAAAACGATTTAAGCGCACTGACCTGTCCTCGATTAAAATCTCTGTCCCAGCTACTGCATTCCATGCGTCACTTTTAAAATCAGCTAACTCTGCATTCCCAGCTCGTCCAAATGTTTCAGAGTTTGTCCAGTTCCTATTTCTGATTCCGCCCCAAGATACTGTTTCGTCAGTATTAACAAAACTTCCCAGTAGTGTCCAGGCTTTTGGTTCTAAATTTGTCTTGTCCTGAGTGTGATTTGTATTAGAATTTGTATGATAAATTGCTTGATCATGTAAAAATCAGTTTTGTGATCGGTTACATCGAACAGAAGCTAACCCACATTATTTTTCCAATTTTTAAATACAGCTGCAAAATGTCAAGCACTAACCATTTTGCAAGCCGTCTTGTACACGTCACCATTAAGCTTGTAAAGAGTGAACACACCAGAAGATATATCAGTGGACAGCTGTAACAATGCTTCACATGAGGTGGGTTTCAGTTCAACAGCCTGTTTCTTCAAATCCTCAGTCTCAAACTGATCAGATGCATTTCCCTCTTCTTTTTCTTTCAGTGTTTCTCCTTCTTTTTCTTCTTTTGTTTGCTTTTCCTTCCCTTCTTCTGCCTTATCTTTGTTTGCTTCTTGTTCTGATGCTTTTTCTTCTTTATCTTCTCCCTTAGTTGAATCTCCCTTCTCATCTTCTTCTGTTATTGAATCCTTCCCCAGCTCTGCATTACTGGTAACTTTTCTGTCTGAAGACTGAGTTGGTTTTACAGAGATTATGTAAGGAAGGATGCTAAACCCTTTATTATCATCGACTGAGCTGCTTGATTCGTCTTCAAGTTCATCATCTCCTTCAACTGTTTTTTCCTCTTCCCCCGTTTCTTCTTCTATCAATTTTTCAGTAACTTCTCCGTCATCGTTCTCTCCTCCCCCTTCTTTCGTTTCTTCTTTCACTGCTTCTTTGCCTTCTTCTTTTCCTTTTATTTCTTGTTCTTCTTTGGTTCCATCAGTTATAACCGTAAGGTTATCGCTATTTTGTGTAGAATTTTCATTTAGAATGAGGTTGTCAATCGTATAACCTCCATCTGAAAACAATTTATGAAATATAACCAAAACGAAATAACTCATGGTTTAAAACGTTGCAAACAATTATTGTATATGAATTAATTATATATATAAGTAAGGTGGGTGGCTGATTTTGTCGATATGTAGTAGTACTAGTGTGACTGCACCATTGACACACGATTTTTTCAATCCAATAATGATAATCTACGAGTAGGCTGGGCTTTCAAAGGTATTTTGTGGGTTTGGCTGTGATTGCATCAACGATAAGTACAAGCAAATATTCGAATGGACTCAGAAATTATATACAGAAACACAAAACAGAGAATTGTAACGATACCTCAGCCCGAAAATTATATCAAAAGTAAACATTAAAATATTTTAGAGTGAAACTAACCAATAGTTTTATCGCAAACCACAACACATTGAATCTGTCTGAACAAAGTGGAACAGTTGAAATGATCGAAACAGTTTATGTGCTCCTTCGCCCACCTTGGACACGTGTTAGTGTTCATGCACTCCCTCATCTACAATACATTGGGTTGTTTGTTATGTTTAGGGTAAAATTAATATTGAAGATCTTTTTTAAAATATATAATCGTGTAAATTATGTTCGTGTAAATCGTGTTTTTAATCCAAGCATGAGATCAAATAGTCAATTTTAGCGAAGTTAATTAACGAATCAAAACTTCCAAGTGGATAACTAATTAAGCAGAGCAGCTAGATTCTAGAACTATAATTATAAGGAAATGAACCTGAGGTTTAGTACCGATACCGCAACCGGTATCATTGCTAGCAATACAGTGGTAGATGTCCACCCATTCGCCCAGCATCTCATCTTCCTCCTACAGTGAGTTTTTAGTTTCAGTTTAAATTGAAATAAATTAATCGTTAACTTAAGAGAATGATAAGATTATTTGAATTATAAAGTTTAAATCTAAAATTATAAAGTTTAATTATAAAATTATAAAGTTTAATTATAAAATTATAAAGTTTAATTATAAAATTATAAAGTTTAATCATGTTCCACCTTATCATTAGCACAGTCGATATCACACGACTCGAACTTGAACAAACTAGAACAAGTCAGGACACCAGTACAACCCTTGTTTTTAGGGCACGTTTTAGAGTTGATACACTCCCGGACAAGCAGCTGAGTACCCGCCAGCTCCCCACAGGTACCATTCCCCGGGACCACGTGGCATTGTCCGTGTTTCTCCCAATCTCCCAACGGCTGAAAGGGTCAAAGGGAGGCAATGTTAAATTTTAATGTAATATTGGTACGATATACTAATGCATTATAATCTCTGAACAAATATGAAATAGCTAAACCACAGTCCAGACACTATAAATGCTGGTGATGGACTTATAAATCAGATACCAGTTTTTACTATAAACGCCTGTGATTGACTATTGGTCAGAGACCACTATTGACTATAAACGCCTGTGATTGACTATAGGTCAGAGACCACTATTGACTATAAAGGCTTGAGATTGTTTTTACATGAGACTCACATCAGCGCACTCCACGGAACAGGGCGAGAGCCGGAATAGCTCGGGACAATCGAGGAAGTTCTGACAAGAGTATAGAGGTCCCGGACACGTATTGTTGAAGAAACACGAGTAAACCGATACATAGTGCCCTTCACCACAACTATAGGGAGGGTAATTATTTGCTGGAATTACTCTTTAAAATGTTACCAACTTTATCCTAAAAGTTCAAAATTTTGATAAAACAAGAAAAGAAACTGAAAAAGTTTGCATTTTGCAAGAAAAATAAAACTAACTTTTTGCCATCCTCCACAAGACACCCTCCCACGCTAACGAAATGTCCAAGCTCAGGATGACACTCCACAGTACACGGCTGACTACTAAAAGCATCAGAACAAGAGAAAGACGAGCTGGTCTGACAACTAAACAATTCCGAGCACGTGTCCGTCCCCACACACTCATGTGCTAAAATCTGGGTCCCCTCCCCACAGTCTCCTCCTCCTCCTTCTCCTCCGCCTACTAAACAGTTGCCCATCTCCTCCCACACCTTCTCCTCCGGACACAGCACGTGACAGGGCACCGACCGGAATAGTTCCGAGCACTCAGTTAAATCACCCTGGCAGGACAGCGTGCTGCTAGCCCACGTGGGGCAGGTGTGGGTCACGTGACATGACCTGACTTGTACCTGGTTACCGTCTCCACAGTTACCTGGGTTTGGTAGGGAAAAATCAGTATTTCCCGCAATTAGACAAGGGAATGAGTTCCAAAAGATTCAATAAAACCTCTACAACATTGGCAACATATTTTCAGCCATCGTACCTAATACTCTAATACTCTAATAAAGATAAGTACTCCAATATACTAATATATAAATATAAAAATAAATATATAAATATATAAATAAATACCTGCGATTGGTACGCAGTGGTGCATTTCCACCCACTCTCCTAGTTGTTCCTCGCATTCTACCGCACATGGTACTGATCTGAAGACATGGGAATTTGTTTTAGAAATGTTTTATGAGATGCAGAAGTTCCTTAAGAACAATATGGTTGAACGCTAATTCGCTATTCGGCTAAAGTGGGCTCAAAAATTTACGGAAATAATTCAAATTTTGGACTGAATTCAAACAGAAAATTGCTCATCAAAGCAACAATAAAAGAATAAAACATTTCGTGTGATCAGACCGACAAGCGAGCGTCACCCAGGCGACGGTACCTGAAGAACTGAGAACAGTGCCATGGATCAGAGCACTCCTTAGTAGTAGTGGTAAGCTGACAAGACTTGGTTCTAACACAAGATCTAGTTTGGAACTGGGAACCGTGGTTAGGTCCACATCCGCTCTTTCCTAAAACTTCGCAGTCTCCTGCGTCTTCCCACTCTCCTAACTTTCGTTCAACCTGACAGGGGGTTATCATTAACATTTTATTTGGACCTTCTTTCGAATTTTTAGAATATGGCGACCAAAAACAATATGGAAATTAAAGATGGTTATTCTTAAGTTACTCTAAATGAATTATATAATAAGAATATGACTACTTACAGGGCAGGGCACGTGGCACGGAAGTGCAGAGAACAACAGAGAACAGTCCAGAAAGTTATGAGAAGAACAGCCCTCCTGCATTCCGAGATACTCAGCCGGGCAGGAACCGGAGAGGAAACAAGAAAATACCATCACTATCTCACCTTCACCACAACTGAAGTGAAAGACATCTCAGCTTAAAAAGATAAAGTTGTTATCTGTCAAAATCAACGAGGTTAAACATTAGCACTTTAAGAAATGAATGATCACAACTTTTAAGCGCTTCTATGCTACGAACTGTACTCTATACAGACTCTATACAGACTCTATACAGACTCTATACAGACTCCATACAGACTCCATACAGACTCCATACAGACTCCATACAGACTCTATACAGACTCTATACAGACTCTATACAGACTCTATACAGACTCTATACAGACTCTATACAGACTCTATACAGACTCTATACAGACTCTATACAGACTCTATACAGACTCTATACAGACTCTATACAGACTCTATACAGACTCTATACAGACTCTATACAGACTCTATACAGACTCTATACAGACTCTATACAGACTCTATACAGACTCTATACAGACTCTATACAGACTCTATACAGACTCTATACAGACTCTATACAGACTCTATACAGACTCTATACAGACTCTATACAGACTCTATACAGACTCTATACAGACTCTATACAGACTCTATACAGACTCTATACAGACTCTATACAGACTCTATACAGACTCTATACAGACTCTATACAGACTCTATACAGACTCTATACAGACTCTATACAGACTCTATACAGACTCTATACAGACTCTATACAGACTCCATACAGACTCTATACAGACTCTATACAGACTCCATACAGACTCTATACAGACTCTATACAGACTCTATACAGACTCTATATAGACTCTATGCAGACTCTATACAGACTCTATACAGACTCTATACAGACTTTATACAGATTAAAGACTCACCTTTTGCTGTAAGGGAGATGGCAGATGCCGTTTCCATACTCTACCAGAGATCCTGGAGTGTTAGACTGCTCTCTCTTTCCTATCTCAATTATATTCTCTGGGGACATATTATAATATGATACAAATATATCTTATTTATTTATTCGTTACGTTGATAATATAACCACGTTCTAGATTTAAATTTAAGGACCCTTGGTAAAATATATGTCCAGTCATTAGTTAATTAAATGATAATATTCATGAATAATGAATATGCATTTATTGTGATTTGCAACAAAAATAGTAAAATTCTAGGAATAACAAAATGGCTATGACTTATGATCTGAGCAAAAGAATGTGATGTTTCAAAAAACATAATTCGTAGAAACTCTGTATTCATAAATAGATAAAAATAATGACAATAACAGAACACACGACTTAACAAAATTAATCTTACCAGGACAAGGCGTCTGACATTCCGCCGATCTGACCAACCCAGTACATCCCAGGGGGGACCCAGCCGGACAATCCTCCACCAGTTCCATCAAGGGGGGACACCCTCCCGTCCTCAGACACGCTCTCCCCTGTATCTGGGTTCCCTGACCGCACTGGGAGCTCGCGTTGTCTGGGTAACAGTCTCCGATATTCTCCCAGATACCTTCGCTTCCTTGAGGGAAATTAGAAATTCGTGGCTGTTGGTTTGAGATTTTATCGTACTTAGTATTTACTGTATTGGTATCTATCGTGGTAAGAATTAATCGTATATGAAATTAAAAAGTTAAAAGAGGCTGCAATCTTTCCATAATAATCATCAAACTATTACTTCAAATCAATATAATACTTTTGGACACGAAGGGAAACACACAACATAAGGCTACTTCAAATCAAATCATGGAATGAGTTAGATCACCTTGATACGAATATTTCAGAGTTTTACCTTTCTCCACAAATCGGTATCTAGCATGAACAGCTCTGAAGTTCCTAAAACCCGCAGTATTGATCCTACTGGCAGCGTATTTAGATTTACACCCATCCATCTTCATCCGGTGAGAGAGAATACCTCCCATCACTAACAACATCTCCTGGAAACAAGATACATCTTTACAACCTGGTAACCTGGTAACCTGGTAACCTGGTAACCTGGTTACCTGGTTACCTGGTTACCTGGTTACCTGGTTACCTGGTTACCTGGTTACCTGGTTACCTGGTTACCTGGTTACCTGGTTACCTGGTTACCTGGTTACCTGGTTACCTGGTTACCTGATTACCTGGTTACCTGGTTACCTGGTTACCTGTTTACCTGGTTACCTGGTTACCTGGTAACCTGGTTACCGGTGAGAGAGAATACCTCCCATCACTAACAACATCTCCTGGAAACAAGATACATCTTTATAACGTGAACCTCGTTATAACGCGGTTTTTTTTAATTAAAATTCTTTCTTCCCTCGATGCACGTGAAAGCGAGGTACTACTGCAGCGGACTCAGTCAGCTGCATACATGATCTTCATATCTTACTGCACACATGATCTTCATTGTAATTGATTGATTGAATCATCAGAACAACTTAATTCATTTTTAAGTATAGCCATCTTGTCCATGGACAAGATGTCATGGACAGTAGTCTCCCAACTCTAACCACATTCTAACCTCACTATAACCTCACTCTAACCTCATCTGAGATGTAAAGTGTCCAGGTAATCTCCCGATCTTGGTCGACATGAACAGGTCCCTCTCGGCCTTTGAACCGCGTCAATCCGCCACAGCCTTCAATGAAAACCCCAGAAAAACCCCAAGCTATAAAACCTATTTTGCCCTTGTCTCCGATAAGCTCCACAGCTCCGTAAAATGCGTTGGAGGATTTGTACCTGAATAAAGTGAATTTGCTGAGAAGGAAGAACAGACGTTTGATGTAGTCAATGAAATATTATTTTTATAAATACATCGTATTTCTGTATAATTATATTCACAGATCATTTTGCATAAAGATGTTTTTTCAACGAACTTCATCTCTACAAAATATTTCGTCATGTTAACTGTCACAGCACAATCTTTGTTATCGCAGTCTTTATCTATCTGTTTCCAGTCAAGGGGGCAAGGCAGTGAGCAGACTTCTGATTTCATCAAAGCTGTGCAGTTTAGTAAGTCCATTTTGTCGCTGCACCCAAGCTCTTCTTTGGTGCACTCTCCTGCACAATGGAAAACTATGAGCATTGACGATTTTTCAAAAATGATACAATACTCGGACAAATTACTTATCAGCTGAAAGAACCACGAAATTACATTTTTGACCCACTCCATGTGGCCCGTCGCCACATGGCGTAGTGTGGGCAGGAAATTCGTGCCTCTGAATAGAGGCATGGATTTGCTAAATCCACGCCAAGTGGCACAGTATGTTTAGGTTAATAGGGCCAAGTGGCCCGTCGCCACATGGCGTAGTGTGGGCAGACCCTTAAGATTGATATTGATAATAAGAAAACGAACGTATCCACGAATAACACTTAAGATTGATATTGATAATAAGAAAACAAACGTATCCACGAATAACACTTAAGATTGATATTGATAATAAGAAAACAAACGTATCCACGAATAACACTTAAGATTGATATTGATAATAAGAAAACAAACGTATCCACGAATAACCTCTTTGGAAACAGGACCGTATTTTTAGCTGGACACCAGCCCCACAATTAGTCTGCGGATCCGTCATAACACATTCCTGGTAAGTAATCCACTCTTCTTTGCTGCGTTCTGAATGCGAGGAATTGTATTTATTATAAGGCTTATGATAAATTAGTCAACAAACTTGCTTATGACATAAGCAAGTTTGTTAACTAATGACTTAATGGAAGCGAATTCAGACCTTTCACCTTTTGATAGCCGTGTTGTAACCATCTTTAACATCTAGACTCTAGATGTCTCTAGATTCTAGAGACAACTTAAACTATCAGGTAGGCCCTAAAATGCAACTCGTCCAGATCCAGTTTTAACCTTAAATTGGTCATATCAGACAAGTATCATGGCACACATTGGACTTATGTATAATTGGATCCTTCGGCTTCCTGTAATTGACTGGTTACACCCGTGTAACAAATTATATGGCTGTTGGAATGTCCAAAGTAAAATATGTGTTAGATTTTTAAAACATGCTAATAAGCCGTGTCGAACTACAGTCCAAGTAGCGCACTAAAATTCAACAGGGTTGAGCTTTAAGGTTTGTCGAACTTTAGTGCTTGTAGAACTACAGTACGTGTACCGTATTGAATTGTAAGATCTAATAGTAAATACTGTATTTCGTTTCGTTTCGAATTGTAAAAGGTCTAATACCTGCATCTTCATCATCGTCACATTGTATGCTGCAGGGGACTATTTTGAAGAGTTTGGTGCACTCGAAGAAGTTTGAATCGTCACACTCGGAAGATTGGAAGCTTTGCTCGGGGCAGGATCTGCAAAGGTACTGCCATAAGTTGTATTGTTTGATGCGTTTTGAAAAAAATGTAGCATTCTTAAACTGAAGTAAAACATCCAGGACAGATTTCCATCCAGAATAAAGACATTTTGACAGGCTGATGTTACCTGGGTTGATCAAGGTAACACTGCCTGTCATTCCGCCAAATCTCTAATCTAAGTTTATGAACATTATAGTCTGGGGTCCCCAGGTAATACCTGGGTTGATCAAGGTAACACTGCCTGACTTTCATCTAAATCTCTAATCTAACATTATAGTCTGGGGTCCCCAGGTTATAATACCTGGGTTGATCAAGGTAACACTGCCTGACTTTCATCTGCTCCCCATCTCCACATTGTATTGCACCAACTTGACAAGCTCCCTGATTTATCCATGGTCCCAACACCTGATTTAAATGGTAACCTGGTAACCTGGTAACCTGGTTACCTGGTTACCAGGCAACACCTGATTTGATACTTTCATCAAATAGTACAGGATTACACAGCAATGAACTTAAATGAAACCAATGGCAACAAAGAATTTTTAGGCTCGCGGGAAATGCTCAGACTGCAGTTAGTGCATGCACAAGTAAACAGAAATTTACTGAAACTTACTGACCTCGTCTGAAGAAGACGGCTGCTGACATTCAGCTACTTCACTTGTCAGTTCGGGTTTCTGAAGACACGTGTTCTCGTCTCTACACTGTCTAGTTCTTAGTGTTATCTGCATGTTCTTACAGTCACTCCACTCGCTCCACTCTCCGTACATGTCAATAAGATCTCTGCCATCTGAAATCACGTGTTGCTTTCTTGCTTGGTTCATAGTTTGCTTTTCTATGTAAGCCAGGTATATTAAAATAGCTTTCACCTCCTGGTTAACCGAGGAACAATGATAGGAAGAATGTGAAAAGAACCTGAATTTGTCCCATCAAAACTTTCTTCAGCACTATCAGCACTATCAGCACTATCAGCACCATCAGCACTGTCAGCACTATCAGCACTATCAGCACCATCAGCACCATCAGCACTATCAGCACTATCAGCACTATCAGCACTATCAGCACTATCAGCACCATCAGCACTATCAGCACTATCAGCACTATCAGCACTATCAGCACCATCAGCACCATCAGCACTATCAGCACTATCAGCACCATCAGCACTATCAGCACTATCAGCACTATCAGCACTATCAGCACACTCCTCTACGTCTTTTAGCATAGCTAAGTCTTCACATTTGTACCCTTCCTTGCATCCTCGACTTCTGAAAGGCAGCCTTGTATGATATACATGAAGGAAGGGAACGATAAGTTCGCTGCTTTAAAAATGATAAAATGATACTAAGATAATGCAAATCAGACATCAAATAAGCTAACACTGTTTTAGACTACTGACTATGGCAGAATTGATAGCTCACCTGTACTTATATCTCTGATTCTCACACGATGACCATACGCTCCATTGCTCGTAGTATTCTCCATCAGCACTATCAGCACTATCAGCACTATCAGCACTATCAGCACTATCAGCACTATCAGCACTATCAGCACTATCAGCACACTCCTCTACGTCTTTTAGCATAGCTAAGTCTTCACATTTGTACCCTTCCTTGCATCCTCGACTTCTGAAAGGCAGCCTTGTATGATATACATGAAGGAAGGGAACGATAAGTTCGCTGCTTTAAAAATGATAAAATGATACTAAGATAATGCAAATCAGACATCAAATAAGCTAACACTGTTTTAGACTACTGACTATGGCAGAATTGATAGCTCACCTGTACTTATAGCTCTGATTCTCACACGATGACCATACGCTCCATTGCTCGTAGTATTCTCCATCAGCACTATCAGCACTATCAGCACTATCAGCACTATCAGCACTATCAGCACTATCAGCACTATCAGCACTATCAGCACTATCAGCACTATCAGCACTATCAGCACTATCAGCACTATCAGCACTATCAGCACTATCAGCACTATCATCATCGTATTTACCTGTATCACCAGATCCGTCCTCATAACCGAGTTCTCCTGCAACTTTAAAAATATATTTTTACCATCATTAAACAGGATCGTATACAAATATATTTTAAACAATGTAACAGTGACAACAACCATCATTAAACAGGATCGTATACAAATATATTTTAAACAATGTAACGGTGACAACAACCATCATTAAACAGGATCTTATACAAATATATTTTAAACAATGTAACGGTGACAACAACCATCATTAAACAGGATCTTATACAAATATATTTTAAACAATGTAACGGTGACAACAACCATCATTAAACAGGATCTTATACAAATATATTTTAAACAATGTAACGGTGACAACAACCATCATTAAACAGGATCTTATACAAATATATTTTAAACAATGTAACGGTGACAACAACCATCATTAAACAGGATCTTATACAAATATATTTTAAACAATGTAACGGTGACAACAACCATCATTAAACAGGATCTTATACAAATATATTTTAAACAATGTAACGGTGACAACAACCATCATTAAACAGGATCGTATACAAATATATTTTAAACAATGTAACGGTGACAACAACCATCATTAAACAGGATCGTATACAAATATATTTTAAACAATGTAACGGTGACAACAACCATCATTAAATTAAACAGGATCGTATACAAATATATTTTAAACAATGTAACGGTGACAACAACCATCATTAAACAGGATCGTATACAAATATATTTTAAACAATGTAACGGTGACAACAACCATCATTAAACAGGATCGTATACAAATATATTTTAAACAATGTAACGGTGACAACAACCATCATTAAACAGGATCGTATACAAATATATTTTAAACAATGTAACGGTGACAACAACCATCATTAAACAGGATCGTATACAAATATATTTTAAACAATGTAACGGTGACAACAACCATCATTAAACAGGATCGTATACAAATATATTTTAAACAATGTAACGGTGACAACAACCATCATTAAACAGGATCGTATACAAATATATTTTAAACAAAGTAACGGTGACAACAACCATCATTAAACAGGATCTTATACAAATATATTTTAAACAATGTAACGGTGACAACAACCATCATTAAACAGGATCGTATACAAATATATTTTAAACAATGCAAACGGTGACAACATTTTTGATTGAATTTTCCTATGCTGACAATTTTTGCTGAACGTCTGAGTATAAGAATTATAAAGTGATGAGTAGAATTAAATGTCATACTTTGGTCACAATTCTTCAAATCTAACTTCAATTTTGCAGTGTTCGGACAGTTTGTCTCATCTATACAAGTCCTGGTCCTGAAGAAGACGTGGTAACTGCTCACAACAATAAACAACATTCTGCATACAGAAAACAGTGTTCAACAGGCAATAAAAATAATGTCCAACATGCAGTAGTTGCAATGCAATGTTCAACATACAATAAACAATGTTCAACATGATAGTATAAGTAATTACACATAAAAATTAATGATTGATGATCGAGTATATCGACATCTTTAAAATCCAAAAACATGTAAGGGTCTGAACATACCTGAGCTTATAATTCTGAAGATTACAGGATGTCCAGTTACTCCACTGGGTAAAGAAGTAGTCCACCTCCGCACACTCCGTGTCACACTGTTCTGAGTCTGATAGTCTACCCGTGCACGTGTACCCCTGATAAGCGCGCAGCAATCATTTTAGTTGTTTCAGGAGTTATTTGGATTACAAATTGTTTGCTTATTGCTATAGTGTTTTGTTGAGTCCACGATTATAAATGAATTTGTTTGGTACTAAACCATTATTCGATTCAAATTTAAAGCGCACCTGATTAAAAATAGTTGAGAGCAAAAGAGCAACTACCACTTCAAAACACAAAAATGTTTACTAACATTACTAACAAAACCTAAAGTATGTACTAACGTTGCAAGAGCGTGTGCGGTAGCGTCTGCCGGATCCACAGGAGGGTTGGCAATGTCCCCAAACACTCCAGGTTGTGAAGGAGTCTAACTCACACTGTTTGTCACACGATCTATCCTCGCTTTGGTCGCCTGTAGACAATGCTTTTACTTACACCAGTAAATTAAAATCCATTGTTAAGATTTCGTTACATTTCAATTTATGTTATACTTTAACTCTGTGTGTCTGAAATCTAGTCGGCCAGAAAATCGACTTAAAAATGTATGTGCCACATAAAAAAACATATATACAAAAAGTATATGAAAAGTATAAAAAATGATACCAAGTCAACTAAAATAACCAACCTATAGAACACTCCTGACAAAGTGCAGGCTCTGCACAGCTAGTTGTAATACAGGACCTGGTTACCAGGTTACCAGGTTACCAGGTTACCAGGTTACCAGGTTACCAGGTTACCAGGTTACCAGGTTACCAGGTTACCAGGTTACCAGGTTACCAGGTTACCAGGTTACCAGGTTACCAGGTTACCAGGTTACCAGGTTATGTCAACTAAAATAACCCACCTATAGAACACTCCTGACAAAGTGCAGGCTCTGCACAGCTAGTTGTAATACAAAACCTGGTCCTGGTCTGAGTCCTGGTTCCACAGTTACACTCCCCCCAGTCAGCCCACTCCGAATACATCTCAACTCCTGTACAAATAGAGGGTGATAAGCTAGGGATATTATAGTGTGATCTTTTAGTGACGTTGTAACTTATGTGACCACTGATTAGTGACCCATTTGAGAACTTTTGTCTGGATCATAGTTTTAACTTTTGAAGAAAAAAAAATTATTTCCAAATTATCTTTTTTCCAAATTATCTCAGTCACTCTTGTAGTCTTGTTACCGTTAGAGTCCGAGAAGATAGTTACTTGAGCAGAAACTCCCAAATTGCTACCTTGACATTGAACATCACTCATACATGAGTCCACTTCAAACGTCATCTAGTCAAAGGCGGTGGTCATTAGATTTAGAGATTATGATTGAAGGGGAAAAAACGAATCATAATCTTGTCACGAACTTGAAACTAGCTAAAAACTTGAAACTCATCACACAAAAAGAAGGAAAAGATGGAAAAGATCACGATGTTGACTGACCTGATTACAGTCGTCACAGAAGATTGGTCTGACAGTGACTCCAAGACCGCAGTTTGTTGAGCATTTTGAGAATCTACCCGTCAGGTACTCTGCCGACCTGTTAAAATAATTGAAGGTAATTAAATGTAATTATTTGCAATTAAAGTTAATCAAAGGTAATTAAAGGCAATTAAAAGATCACAAATAATTACAAATTTTGGCGAGGAAATTAATCGGGAAAGTGACAACTGATCGGTAATTTTAGAGAAAAAACCGTTTCTTTCTGCCCGGACCACCGCTCTGAACTACACAGGGATTACAATATTCAGGTTCTGATAACAGTGTTTCTTCACACCCAGTACTCAAACAATTCCTGGACCTGGACCTGAACATAGTGTATAACGTCAAACACAAGGATATATTTTGAAAACTCTACGAGTACTAAGTAATGACGTATTTTTGACGTTTAAATTCCTGCATATTCACTCAGATCATACAACTTATTTTGACTTATATAAATAAATGATTGGCTATCGTTTGCTGTAGTAAGAATTATTTATTGCTTAAGATTACGAGTGTTTTAAATTTATAATAGTTTTAAATGTATAATAGTTTTAAATAATTGTTAATAATTGTTTTATTAGTGTACCTGGAGCATGTATACGTTTCACAAGATCCCCACACAGACCAAGCTGAGAGTATTGACACTTGGTGAGACACTTCACTGTACACCACTCTTATAACCATTCCTACTGTGAGATTTTATTGTGATTCATTAATCCTAACTTCCTATAACGTCTTTGTTTTCAGCCGCATGTGATTTTAATCTTAAGAGCGTTCCAATCATTTTATCAGAGTTTTTTATTTTATTTTATTTTTTAATTTATTTTTTAAAATAATTTTATCAGAGTCAACAATGGGTTTAAAAGTAACGTTTAGATATAAAATTGAATGAGGAGTTAGCTCTACCAACCTTGAGATGTCGCACATTCAGAGCTTCCAGAACATAGACTAATTTCATTTTCTGTCGTGTCTTCACTCACAAGTCGACTCCGCACCCTCAAACCTAAATCATAAGAAATCTATCATAAATTTTTGTAGAACTTGATTTGTAACTGTGCATACAATATAATTACAATTAAAAATTTTGCCTATTATGCAACCTGTCACAGCTTTGAGCTTTACATCATACCAACACTTCAGCTATTTGGGGTCAAACTTTAATGTCGTATTTGCTTCTACATCCTTTTTTAAAAGTATTATCAAAACAATCTCAGTCCTACTCACCCATATCACACGGATTGGAGCACTCTGACCACTCCGACCACTCTGACCACACCAGAGAATCCATCATATCGTCTGACCGTGTCTCCAACTCCAGTGGTTCCACGCCCACTGTCACCTGACCTGCTTTTGACACTATCTTCAGATCACCGGACCGAGCCTGGAAAAATATTTCAGTTTAGTCGACAGATGTTTCTATGTGACTTTTTCTGCCTGGTAAATTTTTAGGCATAACGTCTTTAACACAACACGTCTTTAATACATAGTTCAAAACACAATCTGATTTCATTTCCAATATCTATAAATAGTACTGGTAAGTGAGTACTCAAATAAAAGTAAAATCTGTAAAATGTGTGGTGTTTATTAAATTATAGAGAAACCTGGCAGCTGTAACGGTGTTTATTAAATTATAGATATACCTGGCAGCTGTAACGACCCCCATCATTCTCATCAGCGTTAAACACAGTAAGTAAGCTTCTGAAGGGCGACCTAACATGAACCAGAGAGAAGAGGACTAGATCATCTTTTAACCACGTGATGTACACTTTGCTTCTCTCCTGATAATTTACAATCTCAGAACATTCTTACACTTATAAGTGGACTCTACATTCTACAAGGTAGCCTAGGTAATAGTTACTTAGGTAGGGAAGTTTATGATGACGAATTTATTCATGTTATTATAATATTGCACCAGCTCTTGCCATCAGTTGATTCACTAACACACCTGTACATTATTGTTGGGAGTAGTTATCTGGTCCGGATGTTGAACATGACACGTTAGGACAGCTTCACCACCTGTATACAAATAATTAGACAACATTTAAATAAATTCAGAGCTCTCGCGGACAATCACAATGAATAATGAAAACATTGATAACGATTATCATTTGGTTCCATAACGAGGAGAAGGAAACCTCTTTTCAGAGAGATTTTCAGAGGCCGCCACCTAATTTCCAATGAAGATAAAATCATAATTTTCATTAAACGTTTACCGAATTTTCTAGCTCGTTCAAGGAAGAAATATGACAACGGTAATAATACGCAACTAACCTAAAGCAACAGTGACGTTGTGTGGGGAGGCGATGAAACTAAAAACTTTAACAGGTTTGATTGTTGTGTGCTGTGCTCCTGATGCCGATGTAACTTTACACAGGTAGCCTGCAGCGTGGATTGCTCTCACAACCTGATCAAATGTACGCAAATGTACGTAAATGTACGTAAATGTACGTAAATGTACGTAAATGTACGTAAATGTACGTAAATGTACGTAAATGTACGTAAATGTACGCAATTTTAAGTAAATGTATGTAAATGTACGTAAAGATTAGGATTCAAAAGAGATACTTTTATTCGTTAGATTAAATATTAGATCAAATATTGATTAACAATCTTGTCTAATCAATATTGGGTATGCTCGAGAGAAAATAAACTTACTATTATCCTTAAGACGTTGTAAAGTATAATATTGGGTATGCTCGAGGGAAAGTAAACTTACTTTTATTCTTAAGACGTTGTATGCTCGAGAGAAAGTAAACTTACTTTTATCCTTAAGACGTTGTAAAGTATAATATTGGGTATGCTCGAGGGAAAGTAAACTTACTTTTATTCTTAAGACGTTGTAAAGTATTTTGTAAACTTTGTCAACCCTCTTTACAACTACATGCTCTTCAAAATCAATCGTCCCTTCATCTGGGAAGTTTTAAAGGTTAACATACTCCTAATCAAGGATATGCAAATCCAACTTAACAGAAGAAATACATTTTCGTATTTAAATGTCTTCTTGCTGTTGTACGTAATAAATTAAATAAAATCATTTTCATCATTTAAAAAACCTGGAGAAACTGTAATCCATGATAATGTGATCCCACTCGGAGAAAGATTCGTGGCCTTCAGATTGGATGACGTCATAGCTGAGCCTGATGACGTCATAGCTGAGTCTGATGACGTCATAGCTGAGTCTGATGAGGTCTCTAGCAGTACTAAGCAAGTCAGTTCTAGAGATGAGCCCTCTGCTACAGAATATTCACTACTACTGTCAACCAGTTTGATACCTGTAATACATCATTGCTAGGCTCCATCTCGCAACGTAAACATTTTCATTAAAATAGTGTTCCACTTCTATATCACAATTCAGGAACACCCTTTAATATAATCGAGTTCAGCTATAATATGTATTTCAAACTAACCGTGAACAATGTAAGAACTTTCATCTTGCTCGGCACAATCACTGTATGAACACGACACAGTCTCTTCATTACACTCCTGGGAATCACAAGATAAGCAAGTAGTTACGATCTTGTTATTTTGAGTAATGTATAAGAAATAAATAATATCAGCGTTTTATAATAAGAACCTTAAGACAAATCACCCAGAAAGATAAAATACTCTAATACTAACGGAGGAGGAGTTACAGCTGATTGGGTACCTCTTGGAAACACCAGCTCCGTGATCAAAACACGTGCAAAGCGACCAGTCGCTCCACAACACCCCCATTCTGAACAAATAAATACAGTAGAATAAAACACGTACAAAGTGACCAGTCGCTCCACAACACCTCCATTCTAAACAAATAAATAAAGTAGAATAAAACACGTACAAAGTGACCAGTCACTCCACAACACCTCCATTCTAAACAAATATATACAGTAGAATAACCCAAGTCTTTGCAATATTTTGGGAGAAATATTTTCCATGATTGTTATAAAGATTATTGCAAGAAATGAAAGAATTAAAAACTAACCCGTCACATGGCCCGTAACAAAGTTGGTAGTTATCAGTACGGTTGTTGCCATGGAGACCACGTGTTTGTACATCAATATTACAGCGGGCACTACAGACGCTCCAATCTAGTGAGAAGGAATTTTCATAGAAACTGTTATCCGTTTAAATATTATCATAACATTAAAAGTGTATTAGTATCGAATTTTGTCACGGTCAGCACTGGAAATAATCTGATTTCGTGCTAAAAACGCGCGGCAGCTAAACATGAATATTTGTAGCGACATAATTTCACCTCCACGTACCCGAGTAATCACTGTCACGTGGTATATCCTGATCACATGAGCCGTTACAAGATCTGGTGACGACATCCCCTCCCTCGACCACTTGGGACTGAGTACCTGGACCACACCGAGCAGTGCATTCACTCCAACCGTGAGTCTCACCTGGAAACGTGGGCTGGTTATTTTACAGTTTTTATAAGGCCAGGATTAATTTTACAGTTTAAGATACTGACTTAAAGAAATAAAATTATCACAAGACGTTTCCAAAATGATATTCCTCGATGCATTAGACCCAGAAAGAGATAAATAACATGTTTTACCAGGTTTTCTCGGCTCATCTTCACCACATTGTACAGTACACGTCTCCGTTTTTATAGCACATGGGTTATCCTGACAAAACTTCATATAAAGCTGAGTGCCTTGTACTGTGCTGTTCCCTCCGTCACACTCGCCCTGGCATTCAGTCATCTTCTCGTAGTATACTGCGCAAAGGTTTGTTTATTAATATTAGAGGTATACTGAGCAAAGGTTTGTTTATTAGAGGTAGATTTCTTGTAAGTTAGTTTTATGCAAAGTTACATATTCGTTCATCCAAGTGAGTTCGGTTGGACAGAATTCGTTGATTATTATTCATTCATCAGCAGATAAAGCCTAAAGGTATTAATTGTGTGATATAAGGAAAGAAGGAAAGATAAAAGTAAAACATTACAGTGTCGACAAAATAAACTAAAAATCTCCAGAATGCAACAAACTAGAATGTCGGTGAGTGCAGTTTCGGAAGCAAGGTCGGGATTTATCTCCACAGGGCCTAAAGTTGTTCCGGAGGAGAATAACCCGCTCGAATCCTGCTCCACAGGTCACGTTACACGGCTCGTACACGTGTGTTGTTACTGTGGGAACACGTGATTAGTGCACGTGGTTGTTACTGTGGGAACACGTGATAAGTACACGTGGTTGTTACTGTGGGAACACGTGATTAGTGCACGTGGTTGTTACTGTGGGAACACGTGATAAGTACACGTGGGTTGTTACTGTGGGAACACGTGATAAGTACATGTGGTTGTTACTGTGGGAACACGTGATAAGTACACGTGGGTTGTTACTGTGGGAACACGTGATAAGTACACGTGGTTGTTACAGTGGGAACACGTGATAAGTACACGTGGGTTGTTACTGTGGGAACACGTGATAAGTACACGTGGTTGTTACTGTGGGAACACGTGATAAGTACACGTGGTTGTTACTGTGGGAATACGTGATAAGTACACGTGGTTGTTACTGTGGGAACACGTGATAAGTACACGTGGGTTGTTACTGTGGGAATACGTGATAAGTACACGTGGTTGTTACTGTGGGAACACGTGATAAGTACACGTGGTTGTTACTGTGGGAACACGTGATAAGTACACGTGGTTGTTACTGTGGGAACACGTGATAAGTACACGTGGTTGTTACTGTGGGAACACGTGATAAGTACACGTGGTTGTTACTGTGGGAACACGTGATAAGTACACGTGGATGTTACAGTGGGACCACGTTTTAATTTCGGATTTTTCCATCCACCCTTAAAAATGTCCACCCTTAAAAAGTTAAAGTGGTTCATTTTAATGTCCGTTCACGCAATGACCAGTCAAATATCTTCCAATAGGGTAAGTTTTTAATTTATTTCCAATTGTCCTCACTGTTAACGGTGCAGAATTCATCACGTTCAAGTTCCGAAGCCTCAGTGCCGCTTTGCAGCTCTGCTATCCGGCTATCTTGTATTATAGTCCCTTCAAAACTGGTAGATACTGGTGACTGGGACGCCTCTTCCACATCCTCGTAATTAGTGTCTTCAAATTCGCTTTGTCCGGATAAGAGTTCGTCAGGAGCCGGGTTGTATGAACGCTGTTCTGTGTCTGTGGGGGAAGGCAGAGAAATGTGTTATCAGGTTAAAGAAGTGATGATTTATAACAATACTATGAAATAGTGATTGGTTCTTAATTGTTGAAGGTAATGATTTTGAATTTTCATGATTAAAATGATAATTGATAATTTTTACTTTTAAATATTTAAATGGTTGGAGCTATTGTTGTTTGATAGCCGAAAAGGAAACTTACCCAGAAGTTGATCCAGCATGCTCGTGCCACTTGCTGGAGTCGCTAGAACATCTGGTAAAAATATTACTTTAATATTTTATAGGTTTTTAATTCCGACGAATCACTGTAACAATATTTTTGAGGTGGGGACGAGTCCGACTATTAAAAATTGTGCATTCTCCTAAATTTAAGTTCTAGAAACATAAATCAATTTTCTTACCACCTAAGTTTGACGTGATTTGGATCTAATAGTGGTGTTACAAAATAATGGTTTAATAAAAACATTCACGAATTTAGTTACTCCAGAGTAACTAATCATATTCAGGATCCGAACATTATTTATTAGTCGCATAGTTGTAATGTTCTGGGGCAAAATTTGTATTGATCCCGTTTGTTGCGACAAGGAATAGGCTCTTATCAGGAAAGGAATTATCTTACGTTTCAATGTAACAACATCGTATACATGATCTCAAATTATTCGTTATCTTATCATGAATACGATGTTGTTACATTGCAACGTAGAATAATTCCAGCATGTATCCTTAGTAAAGGTATTTAAACAATAAACTAATCGCAAATGCACGGCTTCCACCCCAGTATCACCCCCCCCCCCCCCCCTTCCACCCCAGTATCACCCACCTCTCTCAAACAAGTCAAGTTCCACATCACAGTCAACTGTACAGTTCCTCTGTTGGTAGGTAACGTGAGTTCCTGATCTCAGGACCAGGCGACTACTGGTCTGAGTTCCCGCCCCGCAGTCTCCTTCTTCTACAATACACTCACTCCATAACACTTCCTCCACTGCAATTGCAAGAATGTTTCTTCGGGTTTTATATGGGTATAAAGATCATGGATAATGAAAAAGAAAAAATTGTTACCACTTTTTAAAGGGGTATCTATTTAAAAAAGGGCCTTTAAAAGGGGCCTATTTTTACATTGACGCCTCTTTAGGTGTGTGTGTACTCGATGGGCATCTTATTTTAAATGTCGACGAGTTTTTAGGACACATTTTCTATTATGTTGGCTTATTAATTTTAATCTATTAGTCTTTACCTTTCACGATCTATTTGTTGATTAATAAAAGAGAAGTGTACTGACCATTAATTAATTCCACACTGGTTATTAACACCACACTGATTAACGTCCAGTGCAGGATAGCTACCATTTTTATAAAGTAACTTTTACAAACGGACAGGCAGATCCGACAAACTACGAGCAAAAAAAGCAAAGAAAGAGAAAATAAACGTTACATAAATCGTCCGTGTTTTTATCATCATGCTTATCAGTTTTTTAATCAGTTTTAACGATCTTATCTGACTGGGACTAAGAGTGACTGATTACCTTCTTTTTCATCCGATTATGTATCAGATCATTTCTAAATTATATTAGTCTTCTAGAATTTTCTTAGATTATGGTTTTAAACAAATAATGATACGGAGTACAATTATTAATTATATAAACAGATGTCAGATAATTAAATTTGGAACTTTTGTTAAGTTCTGAATATATTTATAGTACTAAGTAGGCAGGGTAAGGTAAAAAATTAGGAATTGGAGGGAAGAGACTGGAGGTAATAAGTTGGAGGGAAGAAATTGGAGGAAAGGGGTTCGAGTTATTTATTCAGTCAATATGTGACAAAGTTTCATTCATCATACAAATTCTGGGCAGAATTCTCTTCCCGGGAGAGGTTTTTGAGCTAGTGTATAGTACTATATAAAGTGTACTATAGTAGTAATAGTACTTTCTTCGTTCAGGCAATAAATGAATAATCCACGTGCACGGAAAAAAGGAATTACCAAGAAAAGGCTGTACTTTTAAGGCTGAGTTATGATTAAGAGTTACATTATCGGTCATAATTATCACGGACATTACTTTCACGCTGAAGACTTTAGCGTGAATAATTATGTCCGTGAAAATAATGTCTGTGGCATTTAAGGTCGGTGAATAATAAAGTCCGGTAATTATTTCCATTAATTCTAGTGTGTGTGTCCCTTTATATGCGAAATATTTGTGTAGCCGATTACTATATTACATAGCTTTTTAGTATACTAGGACAAATATAATCACTCCTCGGTCACATTCTAGAGATCAGAAAAAGAGTAAAACACTTATTAAAAAATCGCCAAAAATTATCACAATTTTTGGGCGGTCATGAGCGTGAATAATTATGTCCGTGAAAAAACTTGTCCGTGATAATTATGTCCGATAAGGTAGTTTCCTCATGTGACAGCCCCACATACCTTATCGGACCTTATTTGGACGGACAATAAATGAACGGACATATAGTCTTTGTAATAAGCGCCATGAGCTGGCACAGAATTTTTTGTCTCTGATTTTGATAAATTTGGTACCAAAAGTTGCCTCTAAGTGTGAATAATGAAAATTCACCGTGTAGCACGATAACGTCGAGCTGTATGTGGGCCTTTTGTGCATCGCAAGAGTGTACAAAGGACGAAAAATGGGTAATTTATTACTTAAAATGCCTATAACTCCTAAAATATTGAATATTTTGAAATAATTCATACAGGATCGTAATGAACTTAGTCAGACGCAACTTTTAGTACAAAAATTATAATATTTGAAGCACAAAAATGTTCAAAAATTTGTTCAAAATTTCACACAAGGGGGGACCCTTGTGTTCAGATTAAAAAATTTTGAAAATAATTTTCCTTTAAATCTTAAAATATTAGTACTAAAAGTTTTGTCTCGATGAGCTGATTACGATGCCATAATGATTATGTGATAATAACTGAAAATGTGAAAGTTATAGGCCAAAAAATAAAAATTTGCGCGAAAAAAGCACGCGCGGCAAACAAGCGCCGTGTAGCATTTTTAGCAAAAATTGCTACACGGTGGATTTATTTTATTCACATTTTTAGACAACTTTTGGTACCAAATTTATCGAAATCGTTGACATACGTTGCATGCCACTTTTCGCGCGCGAAGCGCGCGCCGCCGAAGGCGGAAAAAGGGGCATACCATGAAGGGAATCGGACTTTTTAGAGGGACGCATATTCTGCGTCCCTATTATCCTATTTGATCAAATATGGGAGTAATTGACTGAGATGGCGCGCGCGCGCCACCAAAACAGTTAAATGCATTGTTTTTAACCAAGTTGCAATATTTGTGAGTTTACTTGGTATCTTTGTAGTATTTTTATTATCTAAACGACTGTATTAAGTCATTAGAACCTTCATGCAAACAAAAATTGAAATGTTTCAATATTTCTGTAAACTGAAAACTTGTAATTTTGTTCCAAACTGCTTAATTTTTGTACGGCGCTACAAATTCATGAAAAACGCGCTATATTTATATTTCGCATTGGATATATAGATGACCAATGATATCGTGGTATTAAAGTCATGTGACACCGCGATGAGCTAGCTGGCGTCTAGCTGCCTAAGATCATATCTATGCTTTCTCCTTTGTCCTTTTTTATCACTCGATAGCGGTAACTCTTTACACATGCTTTTTTGTACAACCTGTTGTTAAATTTGTTTAACATCTCTCTGGTTATTGCAAACCACTTCAATCCCCAAATTTATACATCTAACCATCTCTCTGGTTGCTTCCATCTCGTTAAAGCCAAGGCTCGACCGGGACCGCTTTTTTGGGGCTAATATTAAATACTAGTGGACTCTATGCAGCTCTTCCAGCACCCCTAATTTTACTGATCTGGAGGTCACGTTTTATTGAGCCAGTACAGGCTAATATTAAATACTAGTGGACTCTATGCAGCTCTTCCAGCACCCCTAATTTTACTGATCTGGAGGTCACATTTTATTGAGCCAGTACAGGCTAATATTAAATACTAGTGGACTCTATGCAGCTCTTCCAGCACCCTTAATTTTACTGATCTGGAGGTCACATTTTATTCAGCCAGTACAGGCTAATATTAAATACTAGTGGACTCTACGCAGCTCTTCCAGCACCCTTAATTTTACTGATCTGGAGGTCACAATTTATTGAGCCAGTACAGGCAAATATTAAATACTAGTGGACTCTATGCAGCTCGTCCAGCACCCCTAATTTTACTGATCTGGAGGTCACATTTTATTGGGCCAGTACAGGCTAATATTAAATACTAGTGGACTCTATGCAACTCTTCCAGCACCCATAAATTTACTGATCTGGAGGTCACATTTTATTGAACCAGTACAGGCTAATATAATATTAAATACTAGTGGACTCTATGCAGCTCTTCCATCACCCTTAATTTTACTGATCTGGAGGTCACATTTTATTGAGCCAGTACAGGCTAATATTAAATACTAGTGGACTCTATGCAGCTCTTCCAGCACCCATAAATTTACTGATCTGGAGGTCACATTTTATTGAACCAGTACAGGCTAATATAATATTAAATACTAGTGGACTCTATGCAGCTCTTCCAGCACCCTTAATTTTACTGATCTGGAGGTAACATTTTATTGAGCCAGTACAGGCTAATATAATATTAAATACTAGTGGACTCTATGCAGCTCTTCCAGCACCCATGAATTTACTGATCTGGAGGTCACATTTTATTGAGCCAGTACAGGCTAATATTAAATACTAGTGGACTCTATGCAGCTCTTCCAGCACCCTTAATTTTACTGATTTGGAGGTCACATTTTATTGAGCCAGTACAGGCTAATATTAAATACTAGTGGACTCTATGCAGCTCTTCCAGCACCCTTAATTTTACTGATCTGGAGGTCACATTTTATTGAGCCAGTACAGGCTAATATTAAATACTAGTGGACTCTATGCAGCTCTTCCAGCACCCATAAATTTACTGATCTGGAGGTAACATTTTATTGAGCCAGTACAGGCTAATATTAAATACTAGTGGACTCTATGCAGCTCTTCCAGCACCCTTAATTTTACTGATCTGGAGGTCACATTTTATTGAGCCAGTACAGGCTAATATTAAATACTAGTGGACTCTATGCAGCTCTTCCAGCACCCCTAATTTTACTGATCTGGAGGTCACATTTTATTGAGCCAGTACAGGCTAATATTAAATACTAGTGGACTCTATGCAGCTCTTCCAGCACCCTTAATTTTACTGATCTGGAGGTCACATTTTATTGAGCCAGTACAGGCTAATATTAAATACTAGTGGACTCTATGCAGCTCTTCCAGCACCCTTAATTTTACTGATCTGGAGGTCACAATTTATTGAGCCAGTACAGGCTAATATTAAATACTAGTGGACTCTATGCAGCTCGTCCAGCACCCCTAATTTTACTGATCTGGAGGTCACATTTTATTGGGCCAGTACAGGCTAATATTAAATACTAGTGGACTCTATGCAGCTCTTCCAGCACCCATAAATTTACTGATCTGGAGGTCACATTTTATTGAACCAGTACAGGCTAATATAATATTAAATACTAGTGGACTCTATGCAGCTCTTCCAGCACCCTTAATTTTACTGATCTGGAGGTCACATTTTATTGAGCCAGTACAGGCTAATATTAAATACTAGTGGACTCTATGCAGCTCTTCCAGCACCCATAAATTTACTGATCTGGAGGTCACATTTTATTGAACCAGTACAGGCTAATATAATATTAAATACTAGTGGACTCTATGCAGCTCTTCCAGCACCCTTAATTTTACTGATCTGGAGGTAACATTTTATTGAGCCAGTACAGGCTAATATAATATTAAATACTAGTGGACTCTATGCAGCTCTTCCAGCACCCATGAATTTACTGATCTGGAGGTCACATTTTATTGAGCCAGTACAGGCTAATATTAAATACTAGTGGACTCTATGCAGCTCTTCCAGCACCCTTAATTTTACTGATTTGGAGGTCACATTTTATTGAGCCAGTACAGGCTAATATTAAATACTAGTGGACTCTATGCAGCTCTTCCAGCACCCTTAATTTTACTGATCTGGAGGTCACATTTTATTGAGCCAGTACAGGCTAATATTAAATACTAGTGGACTCTATGCAGCTCTTCCAGCACCCATAAATTTACTCTGATATTTGGATACGAAACATGTATCAACGAAATCGGAGAAAAAAGTTCTGTGCTCGCGCTTGGCGCTTATTACACTGACTAATAATTATGAACGGACATTAATATGAACGCTAGAAGGCACTCAACTTAAAACCATCAAAAATCCGAATTTTTTTCATTTTTTTAAATGTTTTTTTATTTCAGAAAATTATTTTTAAATCCATTTTGTATACAGTAATTAGTAAAAAAAGCAGTCGTTAAGCAGTAAAAATGTTAAAAGATGTGTACATGATCAGTGTTTAATATCGCATATCATCTTCATCAAATGGGTTTTCGTGCATGAAATAGTTCAACGTTTAAAAATTAACCTTTAAAATTAACCAACGTTGGCCTACAAAACGTTTAAGAACTTTTCATTCACAATCTAAAATTAAATACAACGTTAAAACGCTGTTCGATTTTAAACGTTGCTCATATCAATTGGTTCATCTTTTTGGGCGTTCGTGTAATGTTTTTTATCCCAGTTTCAGCGTCTTTTCAGTTTCAATGAGTCAGCTAGAAACTTGATCTCTATTTCCAGACTTTCATAATGATCATTAGGCTCACAACAGCTGGAATACAATAAGTTAACCTCCTTTCTGGCTCACTTGTGGACTGCTTCAGAAGGCTATACTAACTGTCTAATTGAATAATTGGAAGAGAACTCCATCAGGCCTAGCTGAACCAAGCGTGGAGTTGATACACCTTTCACAAGCAAGAGCCACTTTGGTCTACTTTTTGTGAGGTGTCTCAGCTACGCCTACATGGGTCCCCCCTTATCTTTTTTTTGGCTTTGCTGTTTGGTCTGCACTGATCACCATTATTTAGGACTCGACATGATTTAGTGTTTTACAGTGTGGTAGCTTGGGAGTAACTCTTAGAGGGAATATCGGCAGTATCGAGATAGCCCGACCACTGTCCGCGGACCACTGTCTGCGGACCACTGTCTGCGGACCACTGTTGCGGACCACTGTCCGCGGACACCTGTCTACCAGATCATATTACTGTATAATAACGGTATCCCCTGAATCAAGCAGGGTTCACATCATCCCCTGAATCAAGCAGGGTTCACATCATCCCCTGAGTCAAGCAGGGTTCACATCATCGCACGCGAATTCCAATCAGCGGTGGTGTCAAGGCTTATTAAACGATTAAGCAACCTTACGAGATCAGTTCACATCATGCAATATATAAAGAATAACTATTATCAGACTGCATCAATCATTTCTATCATCAACTCCTTCTTGAACAACTACATCTATGGAATATCTTCGATCAGATTTGCAAGGGTTTTGCTTGACCGTCCTTTTTCCAGTTCCCGCTCTCATTAGCGATTCATCAAGAGCGCTTTTTCCATGGGATTTATTTTCGTTGACTTACATATTGCGTAGTCTGAACTCTGATATCATTGTGGTAATTTAATTTCCCGAAGCTGCAAGATTTTGCAGTTTTCAATTCCCGGGTGCAGATAATTATATAGACTTAAAATAGAATTAAAGTCGATGTTCCAAGCGCTTAAGGGCTGTTGCAATCTATAAATCAATTTTATATTGGAGAAACTCTTTAGTCTCGTCTAATATAGACACTGTCCTTGGCAACACGATTTACCGTAAATGTGTAGAGGCTGCTGCTGGAACAAGTTTGTAATGTTGGCGGGGACTAGCTCATGAACTATGTTGTTAATGAGTGCCATAACTTCGTTGACTTTTTCCGCAAAGTGCCCCTTGAAAACATCATATACTAGTAGAGTTTCCTGTGCCTCCGGCAGACCAAGGAAAACCTTTCCGTCGTTAACTTACGGCACAATAAAGTTCTCATAGTTGTCATATTCTGGAAAAAAGTTCGAATTTTTGAAAAAAATTCAACGGACTTTAACTTGGACGGACCTTAAATGAACGTACTTTATTTGAACGGACATTAAGATGAACGTTAAGGCCTCCAGCGTTCAATTAATGTCCGTCCAAATAAGGTCCGATAAGTGCATGAAAGTACCCTGATGGTACTGTACCCTCTTTTACAGTTTTCTAATAAGCTCCCATATATAAAAGTGGATTCTGGAGCGGAGAGGTGAAGTATATTTTTGACACGTGACAGCAATAAACCAATCATCTTCTACCATTGACCAATAAAACCCATAAAATAAATTGACAGTCACGTGTTGGAAAAATGAGCCTCACCTCCCCATTCCCCAATCCCCTTCAGTTTTCGAGTTTTTATATCAATACACAGTGTTGCCATACAAAGCTATACCTTAAGATTTATCTGCCCTCCAACTTGCCCCCATTACCACATGTACAACACACGTGTTACCTTCTCTAAACACACGTGTTACGGTGTGTTACCTTCACTGTTACACTCTCTAAACGGCAGGTGCCACTCTCGCCACTTTCCGGTCCTACTGCTCTTTACTGGACTTAGTAACTCTTATCGCTGCCTAAATTAGTTTATAATTTGGATGTGAAGCCAGCCCTTTCATGACTGGACCCATACAATGTGGACAATTAAATGATTCTACGGTTAGCGGGAGATACACGACCGGTTGTGTATCGCGTGGTTAATTAGGAATATTATCATTTATTTGTGGGTTGTAACGCGGACTGAAATTTGAGTCCGTTTTAACGAATATTGCTGATATGTAATCTCCATTTAGATGACAGGAAGGTCTTGTGTTCTGTGTGTATTTCGCTTTGCCACTTCGAAAATTGAGTTCTTTTTAAAGCACGAGTACGTTTAACAGTCGATTTAAAGAACTGCAAGTGTAAGTTACATCATTTGGCTGCTGCAGCACTGATATTTAAAATCTCGCGATAATACCGTGATTTTTTGTTTTTGAAGTCCTTTCTTATCAATGCACCTAGCATGGTTTTTACTGAACTTTTTTGTTTCATCATCCTCCGAGTAATTTGTTTCATGTATCAGTCGAGGAAAATATTATGAAAAGCGTTTCACAATTCATGCCCACTATCATGGCTTCCTTGTGGAAGTTTTCAAGATATTTTACAAGCTGAGAAGTTTTAAAGTTTTAAGCCCCTTGCTTGAACCTTAATGTTTTTAAAATTTGCGTTATCTTGACAAGTCCGCATGGTTCTTATCATAACTTCATTTTGTTTTGTTAATTAGATTACTGCTTATAGATCCCAACATCACATACTCACATTATGGTATATTTTATTCTACTTTGAGGTTCTAAAATATGTGAATCTACTCCTGTACCCACTTACAAGCTATAGTTACTTTGGCTTAATGTTTAGTTTCTCGTGTTAACCTGTTGTTTACAAGCTGGAATTTTCCCCCAATTTTCCCCCTTTTTCTCGAATTTTCTCGCATTTCTTTCATTCTTATCGAAATTCGGAGAGCTGTAACAAATCTGCGGTGTACAGGAATAGTTAAATATGGGTTTTACTGTAATATTTAGTCAATAATTGTGCACTTATTTTCTTATTCCAAACTTCTATCCATGGTTTTGTCTGCAGTCTGTCTGCAGTTAAATACTTAATGATTCGAAATGTAATCTAGATAATCCTAGACGTCTCAAACACAAACAACAAGGACATTTTTTCGTCTAAGAGGTTAAATTTATTGCAAGATATTTACTGAAAATGTTTTTGAACAAGCCGCTCTGGAGTCAACAATAAATGGGTAATGATAATAATAATAATATATATTATTCATATTTGTCGAAACCCCATAACTTTTAATTAGAGTTAATTTGTGTCGCCATATGTTAATCATGTTCATATCATATTTAAAGTTCGAACAGCCACAAGGCAACTCAAATAAGCCAACAAGCTGATACCCGTTTCTGTTGCTCAATTTTATTCTCCGACCTAAAACCATTTCCGCGTTTTTTTGCTATTTGAACGATTATATCGTGTCAAATTTACCAATTAAACTACATTTTCCTGAAAAATAAATGCTCGTTTTTCTGTTACTCAAATGACTGAGATATTATAAAGGTCCAGAAAATTGGGTTGAAACTAGATCCCGAGATCCGCTCTACAATAAGAACCGAGCAAGGATCATAAGGATACATAACAATCGTGCAAGGATCCCAATTAATCACCCTTCACAACATTATCCCCAGCTGAAGACGATTTACACAAGTATTTTGAAAGCTCCTGCTAATAAAATCTTTCGTATCACTTATATGTTTTAAATATCCCCCTCCAGGCCAATTGTAGGGTATCATATCACACTACCAGTCTCAACATTAGCCCACAATAATTGATAAAGTCCCCCCCCCCCCGGCCCCCATCCTGTACCAATCTAACAGTGTTTAACCATGTCACTCTGTTTCAGTCTGATGTGCCTGAATGAATAGTGTTCTACTGTACTTCACTACATTGCTCCCCCTCCACCTACTTGTAAATACACACGAAACTGCCAGACAAATATTTTATCCGGGAACGACTAGCTCTTTCGACTTTTTCCAACTCTCACCTGGTAAAGAGTATATAAATGTTTAACATTTTATGAGTTAATTAATTGAAATTCATTATTAGTTAATTAATTGAAATTCATTAGTTAATTAATTGAAATTCATTTTTTGGTTGAACAAATATCTGCCACATCTTAAAGATTAAAGAAATACGTAATTGCACGAAATTTAAGATTTTTTGGACATCATTGAAATTATGTGACAGAAAATTGTAAGGTGTTATTAAATTGTTTAAATTTGTATGTTAACGTCGAAACCTGGCTAAACCCAATGAATATATGAAATAGGCATCCCCATTTTCAGAACTAAAGAACTATGATCTATACGTGAAGTATTGTGTCGAGCAAGAATGTGACATATCAGTTTATCAAAATTTTAACAGAGAAGTTCCTACAAATGGAACAAGCAGGTAAATTTTCATAATATTATTATTAATTAATTAATTAATTAATTATTGATATGTCTCAGAGCGATTTTATTCATGATAAACTTTACAGTTAACAAACACAGTGCTGACAAAGCGAACGATAATTTTAATTTATAATTATATCATTTCAACAGTTGATAAGTTGGTAAATACTCTTCATTGCTTTGATCCAACTTCAAATTTGTTTGCCCTGAAGCATAAAAGCAACACTTTTCTGTTTCAGATTTTCAGTATCATCAGTAAGCCACGAGGGTAGTTACACGATGGCACTAAAATCAGGAGATATCGGTTTTATTATTCCCTACATTCTGAACATCACAGCCTCCTACCTGTGTATGCAGAAACCAGAGGTACGTTAAACAGAACTCAGGACAATTAGTGGATCTTTACAATCCCATCTTACATTTACCGGTAGCCAATAGTTACTGACCTGTAGTAACTAACCGATAGTTCCTAACCCAATAGTTACTAACCTGTAGTTACTAACCTGTAGTTACTAACCCAATAGTTACTAACCCAATAGTTACTAACCTGTAGTTACTAACCAATAGTAACTAACCCAATAGTTACTAACCCAATAGTAACTAACCCAATAGTTACTAACCCAATAGTTACTAACCCAATAGTTACTAACCTGTAGTTACTAACCCAATAGTTACTAACCTGTAGTTACTAACCCAATAGTTACTAACCTGTAGTTACTAACCCAATAGTTACTAACCTGTAGTTACTAACCCAATAGTTACTAACCCTATAGTTACTAACCAATGTGTTCTTGTTCCGGTAAACAACCTTTTATCCCGATTTTTACGGTTTTTTATCCCTGTTAACTATCCTTTTATCCTGAATATAGTGTTGTTGTCCTAGTAACTATCATTCCATCCTGATTATAGTGTTGTTGTCCTAGTAACCATCATTTCATCCTGATTATAGTGTTGTTGTCCTTGTAACGCGGATATCTCCTCAGGAATATCTGTCCCGGGCGTTACCAGAAATAAATAAACGAGGACGCGGTGTTGTGGTACCTTGTACCGTTATGGGAGAACCTTTACCTTCCGTGACATGGAGGAAACGAGACGGCGAGAAATTCGTGTGAGTATTCGGGAGTAGGATATTCATATAGGAATTTGAGGTATTCGTGTGAGCATTGCAAGGATAGAAGGATATTTGAGTTATTCAATATCCATGTTAAAACTTTTAGGAGATGTATATGCTTTCATATTCCGTAGTTCAAAAAAGTTGTTAATAATTTATCTGACGAATATTTGGGGATATATCAAAACCTTATCTATAAGCCGTCATGAGGTGTAGAGGACACGCGGAAGGAAGACACAGGGGCGGTGCGAGGCTCGTGTCCACCCTTTTGGGATAGAACCGCGGCCCCTCGTGTGCGGTTATTGTCATGAGATCTATCAACTTTGGCTCTCTTATTAATCGTCCGGTATGCTTCTCTTACAGCATTATCTTGTCTAAAAACCAACTTATGTTGAATATCATATTTCTAAACCAGTTTTAAAAGTTGGATATTTGTCCATATAACACGAGGGTATGCCATATCAGACACTTATCATATAATGACGCATGCAGGGCGTGGCACACGTATATTTAGTGTGTGGTTATTACCGCGGAACAAGTACAAGGGACTTTTAGGAATAAGTTAGAATGAGTTGAAGGTACTGGGATTATTGAACGGGTTGTATACTCATAATAACTACATCTACTAAGATACTCTGGTGGATTCGTGTAGTGTTATTGAGTCTCATTTTGATAGTTCTTTTATTCAAATTTCTGATTGTTTCTGAATAGACTCAGTGAAGACAGATTCTAATAGAAATAAATAGCTGAAATTTTTAATGTACATATTGATCGTCATAATTGAATTAATAGTAATACTATTTCAGAATATGAGTATGACGTAGAAATGTCGATACGTTATTCAGCTATTTATTTCCATTAGAATCTGTCTTCACTGAGTCTATTCAGAAACAATCAGAAATTTGAATAAAAGAACTTTCTTAGATACTAATATATAATAGTAATATGAGTATTGCTGAAAGAACAGTGTAAGGCCTACACGGACCGCCTCTAACTAGCCAATCCCTGTTTACATGCCGTGTAGCAGGGGACTAGAAAGAGCTAAACTAGTAAGCGGGGCATAGCCAATACACTATACTTCCATCATTGAGTATATTACCAACCAGAAGGAAAATTTCCTTGTGTTTGGAATCTACCAAGACGAAAGTTGTACAATCCAGCGAAATATATATACCATTTTTCCCGCGACCAAATTATATTTAAAGTTTCTCCTCTTAAGGCTCATATCATATTGAATGCTTTATGTAATAATTTTGCCGACTGTTCTGACATTGAATATGACAACAATATCCTTTGCTACAGGGACATCATCAGCGATGATGACAAGTATACGATATCAAACTTGGGACATCTCTTTATTTCTAATTTTTCTGACAGGTTCGGCAATCTTCAACTACTTTCATTTTTATTTTAAATGATTTGGATAACTAAACATCTCGACTCTTTTCAAATACTTTAATCCAATTTGCAATAATTGTGACTCAGTTGTTGTTGTCGTTGTTGTTCTTCAGCAAATAGCTAAATTTTTGTTTTGAAACCCCACGGTGGAGGTTGGCGTGTGCCGCAATTTATTGATCAATGTTTATTACATAAATGAAATTATAGAAGTCACACTAAAATATAATAATGTAAAATAAATATATTAAAATAAATGCCCTACTAAAAGTACTATATAACTAACGGTCTGCAAAACTGGTTGAAGTCGCAATTTGTAAACATGCTAATTACTATTTAATAGTAATTGATAAAAAGTTTTGCGCGGCAGATGTAAATTCGGCATTGCATAATGGCAGTGAAATTAAAATGATATGTTGTTGATAACAGATCATGGTCATTTGTCGCGAGTGATCTTTCTTTACGCGTTGTCGCTTACTAACTCGGTGCTGTAGTCTATTTGCGAGCGCCCTTCTCGTTGAGACTTTCTTAGCCCAGGTATACTATAAAGTAAGAAATTTGGCCAATTTTCATCGTCTCCTGAGCTTTGCAGCTTGAGGAGTTCGCGCTTAGCTGAATTTTTAAAGATTTCAATTGAAAAGGTAGAACTTGGAATAGTTATATCCTTACTTTGTTTTGTAATAGAGAGCATGGGTCCTTTGAAGAAAAGAGTATTTCTAAATGTTGGGCCGTTGTAAGTTGTGAACCAAGAAAGGTTATGTTCGAATGTGGAATTATAGGTGGGAATATCGTGAGGGAAAAGTTCTTTGATGGATTTAGGGAGAAGGCTTGGCATGTTCCTTACTTTGTGTAGTAGAATAAGAGCGTTTTTTACAATGACGCTATGGACTGTTAGGATATTATGCAATCTAAACGCACTTTTTGTGTGCTCCGGGGGATTGCCGTCTTTATATCTATAATTTACATATCCTGACATAACAGCTCTAATTCCCTGCTTTTGCTTGGTGAACAGAGATTCAATGTGACATTTTGAGGCAAATCCCCACACTAAAGAACAGAAATTTAGATGGGATTGGATAAGGCTTTGGAAAATGTTTAGGCGGGCTTTGATAGGTAGAAGGTGCTTTAGCTTATACATAACTCCGAGGTAGCGACCCATCTTTATTCTAACGGCCGTAATGTGTTTTTGCCAAGTGAGCTTTTCGTCTAGGATCACTCCTAAAAATCTTGCTTCAGTCTTACGTTCGATTACAGTGTTGTCAATGGACAAATTAAAGCCGCTGAAGTCGATTCTTTTTCTAGTGAAAATCATATAACACGTCTTTTTTACATTTAAAGATAGCCCATTAACACCTACCCAATCTACAAGACGTGAAATTAGCTGATTAGCTTTTAATTGTATTTCTTCTAGGGTGGTTCCACTAATTAATATGTTTGCGTCGTCGGCATAAAGGATGAACTTTGCAAAATCACTAATTCCAGGTAGGTCGTTTATATAAATTACAAATAAGAGAGGTCCTAAAATGCTACCCTGAGGTACGCCGTAAACTATGGGCATGCTAGAAGAGCAAGTTCCGTTTAAAGTTACGTATTGAGATCGATTACAAAGGTAAGATCTAAACCATTCGTGCGCGACTCCCCGGATCCCATGATGGTCAAGCTTCTTAAGCAAGGTCTCATGATCAAGCACGTCAAAGGCTTTACTGTAATCGAGCAGGAGCAGTAGGGAAATTTGTTTCTTATTCAGAGAGTGTAGTATGGAATTTTGGGCATTGAGCAGTGCATGTTCGCACGATCTTCCTGGCCGAAATCCGTATTGATTTTCGAAAAGAGAATCGTTCTTATCTAAAAATTCTAAAACACGAGCATGCATAAGTTTCTCATAAATTTTCGAGAATGATCCCAAAAGAGAGATCGGCCTATAATTAGCTACTTCCAATTTTGAACCACCTTTGTGGATAGGAACGACTTTCGCAGTTTTTAGAGCATTTGGGAAGGTACCACTGGAGAACGAACAGTTAATGACATTAGCTAGTGCCCTGGTAAAGTTTTCGCAGCTGTTTGCAATTTTCAATGGCTCAATTTTACAATCGAGTGTGGACTTGTTCTTAAGCCCTGATATTATCTTTTGGACTTCACCGTGTGATGTAGGCTTAAGAAACATCGAGTTACTACACGAAGCCTTAAGAAAATGCTTGAAACCACCTGGGTCAAAGGTTCGACGGGCAGCGATTTGCCTCTTGATACTGGCTGCAATACCGGAGAAGTAGCCGTTAAATTTCTCAGCGACTGCCAGATCGGAGCTTATAATCGTGCCATCGTCGTCCTTCAGACGGGTGTGTCCGAACTTTTTTCTGTTACGGTTCAGGAGGCCATTGATAATTTTCCATTGACTTTTAGAGCAGTTTTGGTATTTGTCAAACATTTTTTTATAGTACTTTTCTTTGGCTAGATTCACATGTTTGTGACAAAACTTTTTCATTTTATCATACGCGTCGCAGTTTTTTTGTGATGGATTTATAGTTTTTTCAAAAAAAAGTAACTTCTTGCGGTTGCATGCCGCCTCAAGCCAGGGTAAGATCCAAGGCTTTGGGTCAGCTCTTTCGAATTTTCTTCTCGAACTGTCGCGCTTCAGGGGGTATGCAGTATTGTAGTGTTTCATGTACGTTTGATAGATGGAATTGTATTGTTCATCAGCGCACGTTGAGGAGGTAGCATCATCCCAGGTCTCACTTACAATAAGCTCTTTGAATTTAGCATGATTAGCTTCGTTAAATACACGGGCCTCTAATTTCAAGCTAGTGTTGTTGTTCTTTACACGTTGACTACGGAATCGCTCGTTCAAACTAGGTGTGGCTCCTAAACTAATGGTCGTGCTAACCGCGAGATGATCTGACATATCCAACGTCACGACATTACAACTAACAACGTTTGTCACGTGATTAGTATACACGTGATCAATAAGCGTTGCACTGTGGTCAGTTACCCTGGTAGGCTTGGAGACAGTCTGGGCAAACCCATATTTTTCTAGTAAGCTTATAAGATCCTGGCTGTAAGCGTCGGTATCGTATTTTATAAGATCAATATTTGCATCACCCAGGAAGACTATCTGCTTTCTGGAGTGTCTATCAAGACCCCTGAGCACGTTTTCAAACTTTTCAAGGAATTTTTTAGGGCTTGTGGATGGCGAGCGGTAGAAATTTACGATGATTTTTGTCTTATTTCCGTTTTTAAAATTGTTGATTTTAAGCAATTGAAATTCTCCGCAAGTAACTTCTTCTGGACTCAGATTGAGTTCGAGTTCCTGTATTTTATCGTAATCACAAACGCGTTTGTTAACATAGAGCGCAAGACCACCTCCTTTTCCAGATTTACGTGCAGGTTCTTTGATAAAGGGCTCGTAAAACTGTTCGATTTCAATGTCGTTCAGACCATTAGGAAGATTAGAAATTTTACAGTTGGTTTCATTGAGGCAGATGAGGTCAAATTTGGAGAATGTTTCTATTTCTTCACTAAAATTTGAGATATTCTTCACGAGTGATCTAACGTTTAACGAAAGTATCTTAAATTCGCGATTGCTAGGGGTCTTGATATTATCAGGGTGTTGGTACTTACAGCTAACCAATATCTCCGATATACAATTGTTGAGATCGATTTCGCTGGAATCTATTTCATCAGTAAGTTCGCCTATTTGATTCAGTACGTGAGAACGAATATAGGGGTTAAAAGTGGGGGTTATTGTATTGTAATTATCATTAAGTTCGTAGGAAGTTACTCTATAGCCAGGTATTAGGTTTAGACAGCATGTAATACAACCAAGATAATCTTTGAGGCATTTTTTATGAACTGGTTTGTCACATACAGGACAAATGAAAACATTTCTAGGAGCATAAGACCACCCGAAGCAACTTGAGCATTGTGATTTGAAACTAGGTTCAACCATTGTTCAAGATGTGTAAATACCAGATATCTGTGAATAATTAAGTAAGATATTAAATAGATAAGAGTGTATAGTATGGTGTATAGAATAGCTTGTACAGTCTAAGAATATGTATAAAAAGCTAATGTGTGTGCGTGTGAATGAATGAGGAATAAACTGTGTGCTGAGAAAGCGTAAAGATGAAAAAGAAAACTTGTTAGACCTACCTATCAAGAACTATACAGCTCTGTGTGTAGATAGAATCGTAACGTAGTCTACAATATTACAATATTACGATAGCGGTACTGATTTCAGAACTATTCTAAAGTGTTTAAAAAACTCGGGCAAGAATTCTAGTAACTTACGATAAGCTGATAAGAGCACGGGCATGACTATATATTTTCATGCGAGGGTTTTCATTATAACCATAAGATGTAAGCTATAATCCCTTAAAGATTGTGAAAATTTTGGCGCGGCAAGTATAAGTAGTAGGCTGGGGTACGGCTTTGTGAGTTTGTATTTAACCGTTAGTTACCAGGCAAGAGCGAGACAAACTCCCGCCTTAATGGCCAGTGCTTTCGAACTTTCTCGCTTCGCATAGAGAGTTTTTGAACACCGGTCACCAGACAGTTAGCTATCTCACTCTTGGGCAGCTGAGTAATGTGAATCCCATTTCCAGATCTATCTAAAATCTCAAACCCTTTGTTAAATATCACACTACAAATATGGTGGGAGTCGAAAAACCAAAAGTTACGATTTTCGATCAGACTAAAGTCAAACATGCAGCGGTTAAACAAATCAACCTCCTTATTTAACCATGCAAATCTCGTTCTAAGAAGGGAGTTGAAAACAAACACTGTTTTTGGATATCTAGCAAACAAGTAGTTAAAATTGTCCCTAATTTCACGGGAAAGTGTATAGCTTCTATGGTCATATCTCGACAAATCATTAATACCGGAAGATATAATCACATAATCGCAGTTTTCAAAAAAATTTTCAAACTTCATTAAGTCCGTGAGTTGGTACATGTCACGCTTTATGACACGAAAGTTAGAGGGGAAAGATGATGGGGTGTTACGTATCATAGAGTCAGTAAGGTATAGGACAGTCTGTTTGGAGGGTCTCAGGGGGTCGGATGGTGCTATTGACGGTTCATGGATTTTAGGAATGTGCGTGCGCATGGGCTTGTCAATGCGTCTAAAGGTCACTGACACACGACACGAGGTGACGCCAGGTTCGGGTTGTATCGCATGCTCCCAGAAAAACTGAGACTCTGTGGTCATTGCGTACACTGTGCCATTCCTTAGTTCGTGTTCACGTCGCTCATCAGTGACTATGTTACGGAAAGTTAAGGTGCGAGTGGCCCCAAAGCTGGCAGTGATGATTTCACCCGTTAAGCCTGTTTCATTATCAGAGTGAAACGGGATAGAGTCTGAGCCTGTCTGGTATCTAGTGACCATGCAAGTAACGTTATCCCTATTGAAGGTGGGATCGTCTAGTTCGTCAGCTATACAGTCTAATATCTTATTTACAGCGTGATCAGATGGTGGGTAGGCCTTAGCGCGATGGGTAATACTGCCGTAACTGTATTTACTGGAGCCGAAGTAAGAGACGTCACGTGATCCTATGCGTTGAAAGTCCAGTCCATCACAAACATTATGCGTTTCAAACTCAAACTTTGATCGCAAACTTCTTACCGGAGTAGCTTCTAGTACTTCCTCGTGTCCGGCTGGCGAACCTGTGACGAAGGTTGAGGGATCCGAAGTAGTGTTGGGAGTAGAGTTCCTAGCGACGAGAGAACTAGAGCTCCTTATCACCTCCTTGTATTCGTCAAGCGTCTGTTCGGCTTTTTCCAGCAGCATGCAAAAATCGGAGGTTAGATTATCGTGTATAGTCTGCTTATCAGTTGGATTTCTGATAAGATGATCATAGTATCTAGAGTCTAGATTTAGCTTTGCTGTCATGTATGGTTTTCGTAGCGTTTTGTTTGTAGATTTACAGAGTCCGGCACTTAAAGATTCACGATAAAGTTGGTCCGGTGTAAGTGACGGCAGTAGCTCGAGGCAAGTTTCTGGCGTAAAAGTAGGTACCCAAAAACCAACAAACTCTGTCTGCGTACTGTGATTTTCGACGTTTATCTTACCTTCAGCTTGAGGGTTTGCCGAGCAGTGTTTTTGATCTGCGGCAGTGGTGGGGGCACCACTGCCCAGCAACCCCTTTTCAGATGTGTCGCTCTGCGTCGTGGTACTCGAACTAGAGGTAGGGCTGTGGGACTCCAGAGGACTCGAGGGGATCAAGCTTAGGTCAGTAGGACTCGAACTAGGCTCAGAAGACATGGTATAGAGGGTGTAAAAGTAGGTGTAGGATGTAAACTGGTTAACAAGACGTGGCTAAAAGGCAGGTCAGGCCGCGCGTTATCAGCTTATCAGATTACTATCAGCAGCAACAAAACATTTAGTGAATATTGATGAATGAATTTAGTGAATATTGATGAATGTTTAGTGAATATTGATGAATGAAAAGTGAATATTGATGAATAGGGAAGTATGTTTCAGAAATTTACCAAAAGGTTAGATACCGAGCAAGCGACGAAAAGGAACTGTCAATGATTTAAAAATGATACTGGAAATGATATTAAAGTATTAAAGTTAACATTTTTCAGCGATGTCGGTTTCTACTCATGCAGTGCCACTAATAATTGTGGAGAGAGGTGTTCTGCGGACTCCCAATGCTCAAAACACTCAGCACAAAGTATAACTTTTACGTTTTTACAGATATTCGATCGGTCGATGCTGCAATAAAGCTGACTGATCAATAACTTTCGTCATATCCTCATGATTTTCGTCACTGATAAGTCCAACAATAAGCCACCAACTTGTTACCAACAAATTACCAATTAGTTACCAAAAAGTTACCAACAAATTAACAATTAGTTACCAATAAGTTACCAACAAATTAACAATTAGTTACCAATAAGTTACCAAAAATTTACAATTAGTTACCAACAAATTACCAACAAATTACCAACAAATAAATCCCTCTCCGCTACTATTCAGGTCCTGACTACGAGTTAAAGATAGAGGACGATATTCTGACCCCTACAATTCCTCAGCAAATCAGAATAGACTACTACTTCCTTAATCCAAAAAACGTGAAGTGCTGGATCGACAGTTGTTTCTCGTATCACAGAACTTCCAGTAATCTCTACATGTATATCAGGCCTCATGAAGATGTTCATGTTGAGGTTAGTTGTTAATGTTGAGGTTAGTTGTTAATCTTGACAGTTGAGGTTAGTTGTTAATGTTGAGGTTAGTTGTTAATGTTGAGGTTAGTTGTTAATTTTGAGGTTAGTTGTTAATGTTGAGGTTAGTTGTTAATGTTGAGGTTAGTTGTTAATGTTGAGGTTAGTTGTTAATGTTGAGGTTAGTTGTTAATGTTGAGGTTAGTTGTTAATGTTGAGGTTAGTTGTTAATGTTGAGGTTAGTTGTTAATGTTGAGGTTAGTTGTTAATGTTGAGGTTAGTTGTTAATGTTGAGGTTAGTTGTTAATGTTGAGGTTAGTTGTTAATGTTGAGGTTAGTTGTTAATGTTGAGGTTAGTTGTTAATGTTGAGGTTAGTTGTTAATGTTGAGGTTAGTTGTTAATGTTGAGGTTAGTTGTTAATATTGAGGTTAGTTGTTAATGTTGAGGTTAGTTGTTAATGTTGAGGTTAGTTGTTAATGTTGAGGTTAGTTGTTAATGTTGAGGTTAGTTGTTAATGTTGATTGTTGAGGTTAGTTGTTAATGTTGAGGTTAGTTGTTAATGTTGAGGTTAGTTGTTAATGTTGAGGTTAGTTGTTGATGTTGAGGTTAGTTGTTAATGTTGAGGTTAGTTGTTAATGTTGAGGTTAGTTGTTAATGTTGACCTGTTTATCACGGCACTCATGGGATCACGCTGATAAAAATTTAAAAGGGATTTTTCACATTTTTGTTAAATCTCTCAATGTAATCATGATATTATGACATAGTATTTTGGCTCAATTAGGGTCTGAAATTCGAAACTTATAATTCCTGAACCACAGGTGTTCGCTGATATGCACTCCAACTCCAGCTACATTGGTTACGAAATGAAAACATTAGTCCAGAGCCCAAGGTGAGGAAGCAAGATTTGCTGGATTTTAATTTCCATTCTGTAAAATAACTATTATAACTAGTAGTACCCAAAATACTAACAATTAACCCGCGCGAGGTGCGAAGTGCGAATGTTATAACATCATTGATTATAAATCTGAAAATAGCCTTGCTCATTCCCATGTTCTCTCTCTCTTTTTACTCCTCCAAACCCAGCTGGCACTTAAGCGTATCATTTTGACGCATGTCACTCTTTACACCATCCTCCACCAGTCACTCTGATTTCACCGGCAACCTTCCCCAGGGTTGTCACACCCCAGAGGTAGGCAGAGCATCTCAATGCTATCCTCTCGTAGCCCAGCCTCTCTTTAAAAATATAAAAAAATTCCCAGGTTCATATCGTACAGCGATAAAGTATGTACAGGAGTATTGCGGAACTACACGAATAAAGATGTTTTTATCAACTCAGTCGACTGTGGGACTTACGATAGGTATGTGTAGAAACTACATTGTTACAATATGATTGTCACAATAAGATTGGAGTTTTATAATAATAAGTTTTATAACAATAAGTTTTATAATAATAAGTTTTATAATAATAAGTTTTATAACAATAAGTTTTATAATAATAACTATTGACTGATTATTTAAATATTTACACGTTTAAAATACTTGGATCAGAGATAATGAAACTCTATTAGGAATTAGGAAATAGGAACCTTATAGTTGATAAGAATTATCGGAATGTGGACATTTTAATATAATCATCTAAAGCTGCTTGAAAGCTTTGTATCTCTAAAATATTAGAAATTGTGAAGCATAATCACTGCATTATAAAGCACATCCATAAAGTACCAACTCATTAAAGTTGTAACCCTTTTTAAAATGCTTTCAGTCAACAAATGTTCTCACTGTATATGGCAAACTACCGAATAGCGATAACAGAGCCGCTTAAAATAAAATCCTCATCTCAAATAGACGTTAGTTATCTGAATTTGTCATTCTGTCAAATGGCTTGTTATCGGAAATCACTTTTTTATATTTCTGATACCTTGCTCTCATTGCAAAGGTGTTCATAGTATTGATGACACATTTTACACATTTATTTGATTAGTGCAATTACACATTTTACACATTTAAATACACGTTTACAGATTGTAGAGTACGGTGCCAATTTCACGATAGACTTCAAAGTTACACGAGGTCACTCAGACGCTCTGCACACAGAAATCAATGTGGACGAGGTAGAAAATTCAAAATACTTTGATAACCATGATGCATTCCACAAATTCCATTCCACAAAACAGTTCTACTTGAACCAAAATAATGATACTTTAAAAGCACAAAGCTTACAAGTTTGTTTGTAAATAACATTTTTGAGGCGTTAGTGCCGAGTTTACTTCTGGTGAACTCCCCAATTAATTAATTAATTAATTAATTAATTAAATCAAATCAATCAATTATCAGATAGCGTGCTACAAGAACGGAGAGGAATTCCAGATGGAGGCAGGGTGGCATAAACAGTGCACGTGGAATGCAGATACCAAGACAGTCTCTATACTGATTATTTGTACTACTGATACTGATACTGGATATTATCAGGTAGTTTTACCAATAAGTTACCAATAAGTTACCGATAAGTTACCAATAAGTTACCAATAAGTTACCAATAAGTTACCAATAAGTTACCAATAAGTTACCAATAAGTTACCAATAAGTTACCAATAAGTTACCAATAAGTTACCAATAAGTTACCAATAAGTTACCAATAAGTTACCAATAAGTTACCAATAAGTTACCAATAAGTTACCAATAAGTTACTAATAAGTTACCAATAAGTTACCAATAAATTACCAATAATCTGCAGGTTCGTGTGAAGAACTGGTCAGGTACCAGTATCTCAGATCAACTGAGATAAGTTACCAATAAGTTACCAATAAGTTACCAATAAGTTACCAATAAGTTACCAATAAGTTACCAATAAGTTACCAATAGGTTACCAATAAGTTACCAATAAGTTACCAATAATCTGCAGGTTCGTGTGAAGAACTGGTCAGGTACCAGTATCTCAGATCACCTGAGATAAGTTACCAATAAGTTACCAATAAGTTACCAATAAGTTACCAATAAGTTACCAATAAGTTACCAATAAGTTACCAATAAGTTACCAATAAGTTACCAATAAGTTACCAATAAGTTACCAATAAGTTACCAATAATCTGCAGGTCCGCGTGAAGAACTGGTCAGGTACCAGTATCTCAGATCCTCTTTACGTGGAAACATACCCCCACTCCGAGACCAGTAGAAATTGCTTTTCTCTCAGACACACTGTGCTCAGTCCTCGGTAATTACTTAATTAATTAATTAAATACTGGTTGCGCAATTCGTTTCTTCAAAAAGATTCGCAAATATATAAAACTTGCAATTACACTTACAATCCCGGACAAGCAAAAATTTCCATGTGTTTAAACAAGAATATAAAAAATTTCCTTGTGTTGAAGAAACTTTACATCAGGAGTGTTCGGCTGGAATGGGACAGTCCGCGAGCAAACCAGAACAAAGCTTTAATCTATCAGATAATAGTCCAGAACCGGGCATGGAAGGAGAACCTTGAACCTTCCCACACTGTAAAACTATCAACTGTTGTGGAGAACCTCCACCCTGGTACCCCTTACTACGCATACGGTACGTACACTTTTGGGAGAAAATTATTATTTTTGGAAACAAATACTATACAAGATCGATATAATTATAATTGTAATTGCGAGAGTTTTAATTTTGAAACACGTCACTACACGTGATCAACAAAGCTCGTTTTGAAAAAGTACGCGAAAAGATAAGGGAGCTCTTTTCAGAAGACAGCTTGTTTGTTTTGTTGTAAACAATGAATCCTGACAAGGTATCAGGTATTATTTCTGTATTATGCTTGCATGTGTATAATTGTGTTATCGGATAACACATACGACTACGAGAATAATGCAGAAACTAGACTAGACGTAATTATATATAATTAATAATATAATTATTTATATAATAACCTGTACCTCAGTGCAATCTAAAGGAGACCTGGTAGGACACAGGATAGAGTTTAACACCCACGAGGAGCGTCCAGGAGCCACGCCCACAGAGGTGCGATGTGAAGCACAGGAGGGGACTACTTCTCTTTACTGTGTCTGGAACGAGATACCTCTCAAGTAAGTTATTTTCTATTAGTCAGCTTGTAAATCTGTTATCTTCTGTTGGTAAAGTAAAAAAGCTGAAATTGTACTTATGATTGCAATCCAATTTTAATAGATGAGTTGCTATAAACGGCAGATGACGAAATACTAATAATTATCAAGATTAGTTAAATAAATAGTTAAATTTCCTGGTAATTAAATTACCTAGTAATTAAATTACTTAGAGAGAGGAACGGGAAGATAACGAGTTACAAAGTAAAATACAGACTTGATTACGAGTGGGAGTTTAACTTCACTTCAGTGGACTATATTCGTATACCAGACCTACAGCCAGTCGCTCTCTATACTGTCCAGGTAAAACTTGGTCTTGTGACTGTTTAAAAGTTTTATGACGATGGACGGTGGAAAAAAGATGAGGGACATATTTTTATAATGCTTTTTAAATATTTTCATCGATTTATGTATTTATTTTGAGATGTGGGACTCAGCACTTGCATCATGAACCCTGATTTATATCGGGATTTTACTGTGTAAAAAGAATGTGTTAATTCTGATTACTCAGGACGTTTTTGTGATGCTTCAGAGATTATAGAGATGGGTCAAACTTAGATTTTCTGAAAGTTTCGTAAAGTTTCTTTAATCAATTAATTAATTGCATTGGGATTGCAGCTGGCACGCCTCCTAACTTACTAAGTCTGATAACTCAGGTGATGGGGTGCACTGCAGTGGGGTGTGGCCTAGCTAAAGAACTGCAAGTAACCACTAACGAGGATAAACCCTTATACCGACCAGCTCTCCGTTACATCATATCTGGAGCTAAGAATATCAGGATAGGCTGGGTCAAACCTGCTGGGTCTTTTAAGAATATGTTCTACATTGTGAGTTCATTTCTCTGTTATACTTATTAGCCATTGTATGTTTACCTGCATCGTATGATTTTGTATGTAATATTTGCAACAATAAAATCATGATTTACAGCAGCCCAATTTACCAAACCCATGTTTCTTTCCCAAGATATTTTATAAAACGCTTACGTTTTAAGTACAATATTTCGCGAACTTTCACAGTTTCACAGACCGCGGTGTAAACTCTTACTGGGCCGCGCTCAGCCTGTCATTCCGCCGAATCTCTATTATGATTATGAACATAAATATAATAGCCTGAGGTCCCCAGGTAACATGTAAACTCGAGCAATTTTGTCTAGGCTCGTTTACACGTATTATAACATTAACTGGTAAACATTGCAATCATGATAGGCGTCATGCTTAATTTCACATGCAGGTTGATTGCAAGAGGAAAGAGACAGGATTGTCGATATTCAAAAAGAATGTTTCTGACGTTGACGCTGTTATTGCCGGTCAAGCTGTAAAGTCTAATACTGAGTACATTGTCTCCATTACTCCCGAAACGTCTCAAGGTTATACAAATTATTGAGAATTTTACAAAATTTATTGGAATTTATTAAGGACTGAAAAGTTTGGTAAAGCGTCGTCACATTCGGTTTATTACTATCAACTGTTATGTATTTGAAACACAACTCTTGGACCATAGAAATATTCTAATACCCTCTATTGAATTTAAATATTTCAGGTTTTGGACCAGCTCTCTCCAAAAACGTGTCCACTCTTTCCGGATGCGCTGCTACACGTTCCTCCTTTTTAGTGAATTTCTTTAGTGTTTTAATTGTCTTTGATTGTTTTTATTGGTTATGAGATTTGACATATTGTTGCACTCATGAAGTTATGATATCCTGTTTCATTTTGAACAATAAAAGTCTTTATATTTTGAAATTTTTATAGGCGAATATATCGCGGTGAAGATAAAATTTTAATGGAAAAATGTGTTTTTGCATCAAAAGCGCCATGTTGTCGAAAGGTGTCGTTAATTGTTACGGAAGGTTAGTGAATGAAACCCATTATTTTGAGATATCAAGTCGGAAATTATACAAAAATGAGCATTTAAAGAATTTTGCTCGAATCTTTAATTATCCACCAGCTTCCGCATCATTGAAATTAAATATTCTGCAGCCATTTCATAATAACTTCACTGTATCAAAAGGCAACCACACACATTAGTGGTAAAGTAATCTTAGATTGTTCGTTGTTACAAATTATAGTCTAGATTGTTCCTTCTGCACCTGATATTCTGTTCAAATATGGAATATTTTGATTTTTTAAATCCAAATTTCAGTACTGTAGACACAACGATTTTCGAAAACTATTTTTATTTCAGTCAGCCAATATAACGAATGAAGTTACACATTTAATTGTTGTAAGTGAAATAAAACAAAACGTATTTTGCGATCGCGGAGCTAAACCACTGTACAGCAAGACGGCAATTTGGTTAATAACCTGCTATTTGCCGGTTATTAGCCGGCTAAAAACCGGCTAATAGTGCAGGTCGGTTTTGTACCACTTTACTGCAAAACTCTCTTGAAGACATTTTGTAGTTATAACTTAACTAGTTAGGTTAACATGCTAGTTTTTATTTTATAAAACGGACCTTTACCGATAGTTGAAATTCGACATCTAGCATCATCGATTTAGCGTCATCTAGCGGCAATTAGCGTGAAATGAAGCTTGATGATGATAGATCATAGATGACGTTAGATAATGCTAGATGACGCTAGATAGCGCTAATTAGCGACAATGCCGCTAATTGCGTGGCACCTTTCCAATGTCGCCATCTAGCGCTAGATAGCGCAAGATAGCGCTAGATGGCGCTAGATGACGCTAGATGACGTTAGACGACGCTAGATGACGCTATCTATAGCGTCATATAACGCTAGTTACGCGACACTGCTAGCGCTATTTGCATAGAATTTCTGGCCTTTTTTGTGGGCGACATATAAGTTATAACGACATTTAACGCTATCTAGCGCTATATGTTGACATCTGATGATATCTGACGCGGCGACAACTGACGCAACGACATTTAGCGCTAGCCGCTAGATAGCGATCAATGTCGGGTTGCGACAGTGCACGCTATTTAGCGCTATCTAGCGCTAGATGTCGCCGCGTCAGATGGCGCTAGATGTCGCCTACAAAAAGGCCAGCAATTCTATGCAAATAGCGCTAGCTGTCGCCTGGCGACAGTGTCGCGTAACTAGCGTTATATAAATATAGGTAGCGTCCTCTAGCGTCATCTAGCGTCCTCTAGCGTCCTCTAGCGTCCTCTAGCGTCATTCAGCGTCATCTAGCGTCAAGTAGCGTCAAGTAGCGCCATCTAGCGTCATCTAGCGTCATCTAGCGTCATCTAGCGTCATCTAGCGTCATCTAGCGTCAAGTAGCGCCATCTAGCGCTATCTAGCGCTAGATGGCGACATTGGAAAGGTGCCACGCAATTAGCGGCATGTCGCTAATTAGCGCTATCTAGCGTCATCTAGCGTCATCTATCATCATCAGGCGTCATTTCACGCTAGATGACGCTAGATGACGCTAGATGGCGCTACTTGACGCTAGATGACGCTAGATGACGCTAGATGACGCTAAATGACGCTAAATGACGCTAAATGACGCTAAATGACGCTAAATGTCGAATTTCAACTATCGGTAAAGGTCCGTTATTACTTTATAAAACATAGATTACGAAGTTCGTGAGGGTGTTTACCAGTTCACCATACTATAATCATGTACTAGTTAGTAAATAATTGATTACTAATAAGTAACTAATGTACTAATAATGTACTACTCTGATCTATCTGAGGATACTTTCTGGTACATTGTACATGGACAAAAAATCGTGGTTGTTAAGGCCAAAAATGAGAATAGGAAATTTGTGATTTCCTTTTTTCCTTTTCCTTTTTGTGATAACTATAAGCTTAATAAGTTAATAGTCTACAGACTAGATGGGATCCAATTAAATCTCCTCCAAGTTTCATGTAGAGTTGCTACTTTCGAATACTGTTATTTATGTTATTTGATATACGTGCCACTTGGAGTAAAAAATGATTACCTCTGGTCGACATGAGATGATTTTAAAAGAATGTACTAATTAGATTATACTCGAGATCATTCGGTATGGGATTCAATCACATATATTTGAGAATGGTATGAGTATGATAAGTTGTTTTGTTTATTGAAATTGTACCTACGTTCCCTTAATTAACGATCGCACCACCTTAGATTTGAGGTTAAAAGTATACATCTCAGGGGGTCTTCTACGAAACGTTTTCGCAATTTATTCGTTATCACATATACTTACTAAGTTACTACTATTGTTGGATTAATTTAAGTGACTTTCGCATCGTGTTAGTTTCTCGTGAAATTGTTAAGAATTGTTGTTCAATTAGTAATTCCAAATTGTCAACCTCACTATATTTCAATAATGTCCCCGGCCCAATTCGCATGCTTTTCAATTATTCAATCAAATTATCATTAATACCGGTGATAAAATCAAGCTGCTGCAGATTAATGTTAATTATGTCAGATAATTTATCAGATTAGCCTTAGTGTATTTTATGTGAAGTTGTCCTATCCTGAAAAGTTATCTTTTCCTTAATAATTGTCGACTTTCCAAAATTGTGGCCACAATAACAAGACCTTTAATTTAAGAACTAATTACTGAACCACAATTAACTGCTAGTGCTACTTCTAATTATTCAAAAGTTATTACGGTTTCATTCGGCTATAATTTAGTATACCCGTGCAATTTCAGTGCTTTGTATATAACATGAATTTCGAGGGTAATGTTCATTATTGTTCATTTTAGTGCGACTATTATGACTTGAAGATATAAAATTTAGATAGCGATGTAAAAAATAAAATATCTGGCTTCAATAACATACACAATTTTTTGAAGATAGAAATACATACCTAGTAAGCGTGGCTTAACTTTATGTGAAGACAAAAATTTACCAGCCATGATTATTTGATTAGGGAATTAAATTCTAATTTCTGTAGCCGAAGTATCCTAGGATACTTTGAACTTATAAACGATTATAGTAAGATAAGAGAAGCTTTGGTTTTATCGTTGTGTCTCAATTAGTTCTCAAAGTGTATTCATGTCTTCGAAGACCGATTTCGAATTTTATTTCATTTTATTGTTGCTTACCCGGTTTCAACTCATTTTGTGAGTAAGTCGTAAGTTTTATTTCCTTAAACATGATTTATTGTTAGTATCAAAGCAAAAGTTGGCTTAATGACTTATGCAACTTGAAATTATAGGATAGGATTCTAGGCTCAAAATCAGGAGAGAAGAAGGGAAGCCTTGACGCAGCACTGTTCATTAATTCCGGCTTTCATCCCTGGGCACCTAAATATTTTAAAGAATTCTCTATTGGAGATTGTTCAGAGTTTTACAACCAACTATCAGGCAATATGGAGGAAGGAGAGCGATGTAGCAGCGGAGATACTTGTGGGAGTAGTGCAACAACAACATTCCCTCTTTTCACATTGGTCTCTCACAACCACTCTCCTAAAGTACAGGTTTATTTATTAGCCGGTTATTAGCCGGTTATTAGCCGGTTATTAGCCGGTTATTAGCCGGTTATTAGCCGGTTAATTTACCGGTTATTAGCCGGTTATTAGCCGGTTATTAGCCGGTTATTAGCCGGTTATTAGCCGGTTATTAGCCGGTTATTAGCCGGTTATTAGCCTGTTATTAGCCGGTTATTAGCCGGTTATTAGCCGATTATTAGCCGGTTATTAGCCGGTTATTAACCGGTTATTTACCGGTTATTAGCCGGTTATTAGCCGGTTATTAGCCGGTTATTAGCCTGTAATAAGCCGGTTATTAGACAGTTATTAGCCGGTTATTAGCCGGTTATAAGCCGGCACCACCCCAGCCTTTATACCTTAGCCTTTATACCACTTTTAAATCCGCTTGTTTAATTATTGTATTTGTGATTTACCAGAAGCGGTAAAAGTAAAATATGCGAAATCTCTGAAGTTGAAGATTGTCCTGCTGAAACATAATATAAGCTGTTCTTTTACTTCTTACTGCTAACTTGTCATTGGTTCAAAAATAATTACTTAATTTAAACAAAATCTAAACAAAATTAAAACAAAATTAAAACAAAATTAAAACAAAATTAAAACAAAATTAAAACAAAATTAAAACAAAATTCTGCAAATTGGAAAGTTAATTGTAGACCCGTTAATTTTATATTACTTTTATTTCTATTATTGAACTTTGACCTTTCTTTCATGAACACCCCAGCCCATTTTGTTGTAACCCAAACTCCTACAAAGCTACAATAGTACAATGGCCCTACTAAAATATCTGGCCCTACTATAACGGTGATTCTTTATGCTAGAAATAGCATGAATGGAATTTTCATACAACCATGTCAAATACCTCATAACTAAGATAATGATACGCTAACAACCTCCCCTAATACAAACAAAGTAAAGAACAATTAGTAATTAGTTATTAGTTATTAGCCAAATTACCGCTATTCCGCTGAGTTGTATGTTGAACTCTTGAGGAGGGCAGTAGAAAGCGGAGTTTATTTTATTGCCATTTATTTTATAGTTCTAATCTTGTGACGGACTAGCTACAACTAGTTAGGTATTGTTGAAGGGGGATAATTGTCAAATTAAACAAATATTTTGAATGGTTCTGACAAAAAGCTGAATACCGAATATGGGAGCCTCGATGTGCCCGCGCGGCGTAACAAAACATTTTTTCTGTTTTATGATTTCTCACGCCCTTATTACGCTCTGACATTTACTATCAAATCTGACAACATATTAATTGTGAATTAAACCGCAGCTCTGTCTCTTTTAACAGAGTTACCTGTAACT